GCCTAATTCTCCATTTGTGCGGTCAAGAAACTGGAACCAGACAAAGCTGGGCCCGGAGGTTTGCCCTGCCACCCTAGCTCCGTGACTTAGCTCTCTGCCCACTCACGCCAGCACCCACTAGCGGGCCTTGCCTGTGGGAATTGGCACTATGGTGTGGCAGCGACGACTTCTATTTCCCTGTGCTCAGTTCCCACATCTGTGAAACAGAACCCATGAGAATCAAAGGGGAAAACCCAGCATGTGACACACTCGCACCGTGACCAGTGCAGACGCAGGGCCCAGCAAACACAAGCTTTTATCACTGAGACACGGCCACGTCCTGAAGAACATTCTTCGCTAGGTTCGGTCTTCCTGGTGCCTGCCGCGGTTCTCAGGCACCTCACCCCGAGGGGCTGTGAGTGCAGAGCCCGCTCTGGGCCGCCCACAGTCTGTCCCATGGCACTCGCCTCCCTGCCGCCTGTCCTGGCGTGGCCAGTTCCTGCGGCCGTTCCCAGCACGCCGGTGGCTACTTAGGCACGGAAGACAGAAGGGCTGTGCTGCGGGACAGGCTGCGCCTCGCTTCTGGCGGGAACAGGGAGGTTCCGGGGGGTGGGGGCAGCTGGAAATAGCTGTCCTGGGACCGGGCGGAGGACTGGGGGGAGGCCCGGGTCCACACCTGCAGGAACACGCCCGCCCGCCGGGGCCGCCTTGCAGCCCGCACTCGTTGCTCAGGAAGCAGCAGACATCGACATCATAAATTCCCTTCCGTTCCACACACTTGACCCAGAAAACCAGAGCCGAAGAGAACCGTCTTCTCATCTGCAGGCACAGGGCACTGGGACAGGTCTCAACCTCACCCCGCTCTAAGGAAGCCGTGGGAGGAGAGATGAAAGCAACGGGACGAGCAAGGTGATGCTCACCTTGAAACAGCCGTGGACTCCCAGAAGGTCCCACCAGGCGCGAGCCTCCGAAGACCACTCTGCCAGTGGGGAAACTGAGGCCGGAGGGCTGAGGCACACGGGCAGGTTGCAGCAGAGCCTGGCTTAGGGCCCGATCTCCTCTGGTCTCCTCTGTCTAACACCATCAACCGTCTATATTTTCTGCTTACCCCCTCCCCCACAGCGCGCTCGTGCGACGGCTAGTGACCGGTGTCCCTGCCGGCGCCGCAGATGGGAAGCCCACCACAGTCTCACTGGATCTGTGTCGGCAGAAACGTCGAGTGAATAGAAATCCAACCTGAATCATAAAAGCAGAGGGTCGCCGTCCCTCGATCGGTTCCCAGCGGAGCCAGTTCACAGCCCGGCACCCCCCGAGTAAATGGGAGGCCCGCGCCCCCTGAGGAGGGACCCCGGTATATCACCAGGAACGCGTACCGTTCGTCTTTCTCCTGGCCTTCCCCGAGGGCCTACGGACACGGGTGACTGCACTGGCGAAAAGGAAACCACCAGACCTTCTGGGGACTACTGGACGCTGGCTCTGAACTGACACTGACTCCAGGAGATCCAGAATGTCACCGTGGCCCACAAGTCAGAGGCCAGCTAACGGTCGAGTTCTAGTTTGGGTCCGTCTCACAGTGGGCCCAGTGAGCCCCTGAACCCATCCTCCAGCGACTTCCCCAGTTCTGGAAGGCAAAACTGGGACAGACAAACTCAGCAGCGGGCAGAATGCCCACATTGGTTCCCCTGACCTGCCACATTGAGGAAAGCCAAGCGGAAGCCACTAGAACCGCCGACAGCCGGGAAAACAGTAAGCCAGACGCAAGACCTCACCCCGAGAGGTGGTGGAGAGCAGCGCAGGTAGGGAGGAGCACACGTCTGGAATCCACGCGATCCCTTCAGACATCTCTCATCACGCCCTGTGGCTATGGGCAACGAAAACGACAACAATCGACTGATGGCCTGGATTCTCCGGGAATAAAGTCCGGGCCATCCCAACGGCTCAAAAACCATGAGCAACTAAGGCTCTCGCTGAAGGAAGAGAATGCAGAGCGAGTGGTGGAAGAAGGTCGTCACAAATACTTGCTGTGACCATGTGACCAGCTATAGAACAGGGACTGTGACTGTCATGAGCACTTCCTCCAGGGAGGCCATCCACAGGGATGAAGTTAGGTCCCTTCAGGCTAGGAAACCAAGGCCCAAGGGCAGCCTGAGGGAGGGACGACCCCACGATGGTGTCATTGATCCTTTTTTTTTTTTTTTTTTTTTTTTTTTGAGACAGAGTCTCGCTCTGTTGCCTGGACTAGAGTGCCGTGGCATCAGCCTCACTCACAGCAACCTCAAACTCCTGGGCTCAAGCAATCCTCCTGCCTCAGCCTCCCGAGTAGCCGGGACTACAGGCATGCGCCACCATGCTCGGCTAATTTTTTCCATATACTTTTAGTTGGTCAATTAATTTCTTTCTATTTATAGTAGAGACGGGGGTCTCACTCTTGCTCAGGCTGGTTTCGAACTCCTGACCTCGAGCAATCCTCCCGCCTTGGCCTCCCAGGGTGCTAGGATGATGCGTGAGCCACCGCGCCTGGCCAGTGTTATTGATCTTAAGCAGCTGCCCTGCTCTGCTTTGGTGCTGGACACTGGAAACATTTTCCCTGATTTGAGGGGCCCACTTTCACCTCATGGGGGAGCAGAGGCACAGGGATGTGCTCACGCCCCAGCAAGCGCACACAGGAAGAACACCGAGCGTCCTCAGTGTGTACCTTGACTCTGGTGCCCATCGCCACCCCACGCACGCTGCTCTCCATGTCTGCTGACATGCTCTTTGGTTCTCTGCCAGCCAGCCCGTCTCCCGGGCAGACATGAGCCCCTCACGGGCGAGGGCTGTGCCTTCGGACCCTATGTTCCCAGTGCTGGGAAAGGGCACAGCGCGCAGGAAGCCCAGAGAGACGGTGTGCTGAGCTCGACCTCGGGGCTGGAGTCCGAGCCCTGGTCTCGCGGCGCCCACGGCCAGCGCGCTTCCCATTCCACTGTCGGGCCGTGGTGGGGGGAGGACCACAGCGTGCACTCGCTGCCACGCGCGGAGTCTGTCTGCCTGGGGTCCGGCCTCCTCCTCCGTGGAGACCCGGCCAGGGATGACGGAGAAGCCACGGAACGCGGAGCGACGGTGCAAACCTGCCGGGCGGGCAGCTCACGCGTGGGGAAGGACTCCCCCGGCGGCCAGTCTGTGCTCTGGGCGCCCCACCGGCCTGGCGAGACCGTGGGCGCTGCCCCCACCCGAGGCGCCTCCTACCCCAGCTTCTCCCTTCCTCCCTCCCCCCACAGCCCGACAGGGTCTGGAGGCTCCGCCCACCTGCTCCTGTTCCGTCTCCCTTCTGTCCTTCGCAGACGTGCCCTCAAGAAACGTGTGGCCCAGCCGACTGTCCCGGCCTCAGGAAGAGCCTGGAGCACCGGGTGCCGGGAGCGGCGGGCACGCCCGGCTGGCAGATGAGAGCAGACAGGTGTGACCACGGGCGCTGGCTGGCGATCCGTTCCTTTGAGAGACACACACGAGCGTCCCGAGCCGCCGAGGGCACGGGACAGACAGCGGGTGACGTCGTGCGCACTGTGGTGTCTCAGCGACTCTCTGAACCCGAACCTCCGCCAGGCAGAAACCTGGCTCCTCACAGAGAGGCGAGACGGGGCAGTGAATCGAAACGTGTCGCTCCAGCTCGAGGTCTCTGCCCCTCCCGGAAGAGGGCCTGGGAGCGGCCTGGGGAGCGCAACCCGAGCCCGGGAGCGCGGGGCGACCAGAGGGTCAGGCGTCAGACCTGCAGCAAGCGTCCCGCGGGTCGAGGTGAGTGCGGGCAGGCGGAAGCGCTGACGTTAGCTGTCCTGTGACAGGTGGCACGCTTGACGGATGGAGACCTCGACAGCACCACTCACCCGCGGCCATCAGACCCACGGCTCTGACTAACAAGAGACGCCGCGAGAGCAATGTCTACGAGACACTGGAGACTTGGGACGGCGGGGTGTCAGCCAGCGAGGCCCGCGCGTTCCCGCCCTGCCGTAGCCGCGGGGAAACCTGACGCTGCGTCCCGAGTTCAGAGGCCTCGTGGCCTCTGCTCCTTTGTCTCTTTTCGTCGGGTTTGGTCTTGGTTTCCAATGACCACGTTCACTCTGTGGTGAGGGAGCCGCTGCGGTGAGGGGCCGGGTCTGGAGCTGTGCCCTGCACCCGACCACCGGGTGCAGGACCGTTCTGCCTGCCCCACTGGGAGCCGCTGTGTCAGATGACCTCTGGTGACCTTGGTGTTTCCAGTCCCAGCGCAGGAACTGACGTCCATGAAGGAGATGGACAAATATTCACCGAATGCATTCACGAGCCTGACTTTCTGCCCTGGGTCTCACCGCCCCCTTGCAAACTCCTTTTGCTGCAATTAAAGCAGTAATTACTTCCGGCTTAATTTCTAGCCGACTGTGTGATTTTTTAACGGAACAAGCAGTCTGGCAGGGCTCCTGGCAACTCAGTGGCGCGGCCACCGCGTGGACGCCAGCCTGTCTCTCGGCGGCACGGCCCGCGCCCCGCATCGGATCCACCGCGAGATCTGGAGCGGCGCTGCCATCAGTGTCCTTAACGCGCTGCACGACGCTGAGTCGGTGAGACGATGATGACAAATCCTTCTACGGCCACGTGAAGCTCAGGGAGAAAACAGAGGCCAGATTTCAGCGTGGACGCACTAACCTCTCAGCCACCGTGAGACTCCACGCGTTGTCAGAGACCCCGAAGCAAAGCCACAAGCCAAAGTCAACGGAGACGTTCTCTGGACGAGAGAAGTCGCCAGTGTTGAAGCCCGCACGTTCACAGCCCCGTCACCACCGCCGTCTGCCGTCAGTTATCGGAAGCTGACGTGTTGGGTGGGTGGGGCGGGGAGGCTGGCTCCGAGACGCCCGAGAGAGGCGTAAGGACTCCGGAAGGAACCGGCAACTGGTGGACGCTCTGCACGCAGACAGCGACATCCGACCGACACACTCCAGTGATTTCTAGCCAGCACCCAACAATTCACAGGATATTGTTTTAATGACATTATTTAAAAATTGATAGGGAGTCTATTCATTTACAAAATCCATTTATTGCATACTTTTTGTTTAATAGCTGGGGTCCAAAGTGTTAAAGATCTGACTGACCCAAATGAAAAGATACAACAACAGTAATCACTTTTAAGCGCTAGTTCAGAAGAATATGCCTAATGTCTCCAAGTTATTACGACTTTTTTGACTATTGTGATTTTAAATTATGATGTAGCACCCTGCCCCTAAGTAATGTGTAAACAGGGTTCTAACAAACTGCCACATTAAATTCCGCACCAATCGCCGGGGCTGGCGTCTGCACTCACGCGCCAAGGGCGTGAATTATGACATCCTGCCTTTCCAGAAACGCAGATGCCCTTAACTCCTCAACTGCTTCTTGTGGAAGAGAGGTTACGGAAGAAGCCTGCTCTGAAGCTGCGTTCTCCACGGAAGAGAAGGAGACTGTCTTAGGGATGTTCTGACATTTACACATCAAGCCGAATCAAACCCTCTGCCAAAGAGTCTGCCCACTGCAAGCTGGTGAGCGCGCGGACGCCAACGTCAGGCCTTTGGGCAGAGACTGTTGTAGGGGCAGGAGGCAACCAATCAAGTGGGGACGTTTTCTAACTTTTTTCTTCCCCAGAAAGGCAGAAAAGAATGAAAATAAGCTAACCATAATATTTACAATTTAACATCTTTCCTTGGGCATTTATAAACATGAACTCTGTAGATGACAACAGAGAGTACCATATTCTGATCACTGAGTTTTAAAAAGTCAGTAAAAGCTCACACTAATTCCTATTACGCTTATTTCTTGGCTCAATCTCAGCACTTTCAGGCTCTCGGGTGCGGCGATTCTGTCTCGGACTTATTTCTGTGTCTTGAAGATCATTTCTGAAAACAGAAAAAAAAAAAAAGAAATGGCATCGTAGAAAATAACAACCATTATTCTACCCATTCTACCCATTTTTCTTCCCATTCTGGTCAATGTAAATATATTTTATGCCTTGTACTGTGTGTGTGTGTGTGTGTGTGTGTGTGTGTGTGTGTGTGTGTGTGTATACATATTTTTTCCCTGTATATTATGATAGTTTGATATTTTCAAAAACTCTCTGGCTGGGAAGAGCCTGTCCCTGCTGGGTGGGGCGTCCCAGAGACAGGGCAGGGCCCAGTCGGGAGCAGGGCTCTGATGTGCCGCTGACCAGCCCGGAGCCCCACCTCCTCCCTGACCCTGCGCCGCACGAGGCAACACTCCTCCTCCTTAGTCATCGCCAGGCCAGGCACCAGGTAACTTGGGGCCACCCTCTAGTTTGGAGCCTGCTGGAATTATTCAAATGAGCCGACCCTACGGTATGCACCCTGCCCCACCCTGCCTCTCCCAAGGAAACACCCATCAAGGTTCTCCCCTCACGTTTTCTCCTTGCCCCTGTCTTCTGTTGCCTGATCGGCCTGCTGTCTTCCCCCTGTGGGTGCCCCAAGCCCCCTGCCTCTAGGACCTTCGAGGGTAGTAAACTGCTTTCCTGAGCCTCCCCTGTGTCTCCTCTTGTGCCGCTCCTGAATGACCATCTCATAAAAAAGGAACACACACACATAGCTCAAAACAGCTGGATAAGCCAAGACATGAGACACAGAGACACAATAACCCAAGACCAGGCTGTAGGAAATAAGTCTTTCTGCTGCTTACGAAAATACTGCTCTGCAGGGAGCAATGTGTTGCTAATGAAACCTCTAAATCATTAACAGAATCAGGAGAATGTGCCAGGACCGATACAGTATGTTCTAGGACAAGCATCTCAAATATGCCACTTGTGGCACCTCGAGGTGGCTATTTATAAGAACCACCACATTTTGCTGAAAAGCAAGCGGTGGAGGCTTTTCCTGACTATCTCTGAAACCGTATCAAGGCATAAGCTCGTGCGAGGCAGGAATTGCGGTCGTCAAAACTGCTCTGCATTTGTCTGAAACAAGAAGGCCTGTATTCTGATCCTGGTGGTGCCACTAACGAGCCCTGGGACCTTGACCCAGTCAGCTTACTTCTCTGGAGTTCTAGCGTGGGCTCAAGAACTCTGGGCTACAGCTTGCTATAGCCATTGGCATCAGTTTTGGTTCAACACAAACGGGTACAGGAGGAGGTAGGTAGATGACCGGTCTGCTCTTATACAACTTGCCACACCAAGCTTAGGTAACACAGAAAGAGCAATGCAACCAACATCTCAGACTTCCATAAGCTGCTCCCGTTCGGGCCACCAAATATCTCACAATGAACCTACGCATGATGCACCGCCTAGACACCCCACACTGCTGCCCTCGCCCGGCGGTTCTGTGTGAAGTGACAGAATGTCAACAGCATGGTAAACTACCCTTCTTTGAAAAGACAGTATAGTTTGATGGTTAAAAGTGCCAACTTTTAACAACTGGGTCAGAATTTCATCTCCACTGATTATCACTTACTGCTATGTGACCTTGGGCTAGAGGTTTTCCCTTTCAGCCTCAGTTTCCTCACCATAAAATGGAGACGATAGTAGTACACCATAGTGTTGTTATGATATTTAACAAAGCATTCACTCTGGGTCAGGCTTGGCTGACACGGGGGTTACACCAGGGTCACAGAGCAGCAGGGAGAAAGGCAAACAAGCAGGCATGCAGAGGCAGTGGGAAGAGGAGGACGCGGTGCTGCACAGGAGGGTTAGAGCCAGGAAGGAGGGTCAGCGCAGACTTCGAGAGGAAGGAGCTCTCGCGCTGAGACCGGAAGGGTGAGCAGGTGTGTGAACCAGGTGCAGGAGAATGGGAAGAACATCCTGGGTAGAGGGAAAGCCTGCTCAGAGGCGCCGTGGTGGGAGGGAGCTTTGCATGTAGGAGGACCATCCTAAGAGGTCTATACGATGGAACAGAGAGAGTATGTAGGCATATAACAAGAGATGAGTCTGAAGGAGATTAGATCATGTAGGACCTTTTAGATATATTTAGGTATGTCACATTCCTTCTTAATCCTCAGAGGAACAAGAAGTCATTAAAGATTTTTTTTTTTTTTTTTTTTTTTTTTGAGACAGAGTCTCGCTTTCTTGCCTAGGCTAGAGTGAGTGCCGTGGCGTCAGCTTAGCTCACAGCAACCTCAAACTCCTGGGCTCAAGCGATCCTTCTGCCTCAGCCTCCCGGGTAGCTGGGACTACAGGCATGCACCACCATGCCCGGCTAATTTTTTATATATATATCAGTTGGCCAATTAATTTCTTTCTATTTATAGTAGAGACGGGGTCTCGCTCTTGCTCAGGCTGGTTTTGAACTCCTGACCTTGAGCAATCCGCCCGCCTCGGCCTCCCAAGAGCTAGGATTACAGGCGTGAGCCACAGCGCCCGGCCGATTAAAGATTTTTGAAGCAGAGGGCTGAGCAACAGTGACCAGATCTGCATTTTGAAAAGACCACCCTAGTGGCTGTGTGGCAATGGTAGTATAAAGAAGCCAGAAGAAATGAGGACAAACTGAGACTACTGTCCAGTCAAGAAGTGACGGTGGCATGGATTCCGGTGATGAGAGAGCTGGAAACAAAGTCCACCTGGTGGAGGTGGTGGCTTCCAGACATACAGTCACGGGTTGCATGATGACATTTCAGTCAATTAGAGGCTATGTAAGATTGGGACACTCTATTTTTACTGTGCCTTTTCTGTGTCTGAATGTATTTAGATGACCAGACGCTCACCACAGTGCTGCCCACAGCGCCCAGTGCAGTGACACACTGGGTGGGTTGGTAGCCCAGGAGCAACAGGCCCTGCCCTACAGCCTGGCTGTCTACTAGGCTCGTCCATCCAGGGTTGTACAAGTACACTCTGTGGGGCTTGCACGAAAATGAAATCACATCTCTCAGAAGGTATCTCCATCATTAAGCGATGTACCACTGTATGAACTGCCCACAGCTACAACCTGTCCTTATACTAATAGCTTCTGATAGGTGGCAGGAGTTATTACAATAGGATTCCATATCTAAGCAGAAATATACAGAAACAGGTAGTGAAATGGAAATCTTTACCTTGCATGTGGATTACTACTTTCTTACACCAGAAAGCAAAATATTCTTTTGTTTACAAATCAGATGTATAGAAGCGTAACTCCTCAGGTCAAAGTACATGTTTATTTCTTGATTATGAGAACTCACTTGTGTGACGCTTCCCAGGCTTCCTCTTCTTCTAGAAGATCTCTTATGATGTCCGAACTGGAACTAAAAGGATAAGTACCTCAGTATTGCCAGACAAGAAGATGACTGTATGATTCCATTTATATAAAATTCTAGAAGACAAAAACTAGTCTATAGTGACAGAAAGCAAATCTGCAGAGCAGTGGTTACCAGCAGGGGTGGGGGGAGGAAGGAGGAGTGGGAGCGGGCAAGGAAGGATGACAACGTAGCACGAGGAAACTTTGCGAGTGATGAATACGTTCGTCACCTTGATTGCGGAGATAGGTTCATAACACACATATGTCAAAACTCATCAAATTATGTGCCTTAAATATTTGCAGTTTATTATACATCAATATCAATAAAGATGTGAAAGAATCTTACTAAATTAGCAATAATAGCGGAAAAAATCATTACAAGCTTCAATAAATCCAACATAAAACCTGTATCCAAATGGGATATAGTCATGAGACTTTTCAGTTTCCAGCCAAGCGAAGATCAATTTGTTTGTTTTTGAATTTCAAAATATTAAGGAGGTAAAAATGTCTTTGTTAAAGCGCTTTAGTGTGCCCATCACCCGAACAGTGTTCACTACACCAGCAGGCGAGTGTTTGCCCTTCCTCCCTTCTTAGCTTCCAGTGTCTTTTACACCTCTTTGTGCCCATGTGGGCCCACTGATTCACTCCCAGTTATTAGAGAGTACATGCGGTGTTCATTTCTCCATTCCTGAGATACTTCACTTAGGATAATGGTCTCTAGCTCTATTCAAGTTGCCACAAAAGACATCACTTCATTCCTTCTTATGGGTGAGTAGTGCTCCATGGCATCTATACATCACATTTCGTTAGTCCACTCATGAACTGATGGGCACTCAGGCTGAATCCACATCTTTGCAATTGTGAGTTGTGTTGCAATACACATTTGAGCGCAAGTGTCTTTCTGATAAAATGAATTCTTTTCCTTTGGGTAGATTCCCAGCAGTGGGACTGCTGGATCGAATGGCAGGTCTACTTCTATTCCTGGAGGAATCTCCACAGAGTCTGTGCTAGTTTGCAGTCCCACCAACAGTGTATAGGCGTTCCTTTCTCTCTGATCCACGCCATCTGTTGTTTTCTGACTTTTTAGCAATGGCTGTTCTGACAGGGAGAAGGTGGCATCTCACTGTGGTTTTTTTTTTTTTTTTTTTTTTTTTTTTTTCTTTTTTTTTGAGACAGAGTCTCACTTTGTTGCCCAGGCTAGAGTGAGTGCCGTGGCGTCAGCCTAGCTCACAGCAACCTCAAACTCCTGGGCTCAAGTGATCCTTCTGTCTCAGCCTCCCAAGTAGCTGGGACTACAGGCATGTGCCACCATGCCGGCTATTTTTTTTTCTATATATATTAGTTGGCCAATTAGTTTCTTTCTATTTATAGTAGAGACGGGGTCTCGCTCTTGCTCAGGCTGGTTTCGAACTCCTGACCTCGAGCAATCCGCCCGCCTCGGCCTCCCAGAGAGCTAGGATTACAGGCGTGAGCCACCGCGCCCGGCCTCACTGTGGTTTTAATCTGCATTTCCCTGATAATTAGTGATGCTGAGCATTTTTTCACATGTTTGTTGGCCAGTTGTCTATCTTCTTTTGAAAAACTTATGCTCATGTCTTTTGCCCACTTTTTAATGAGGTTGAATCTGCCTGATTTGAGTTCTCTGTAGATTCTGGATGTTAGCCCCTTATCAGATGGACAGTTTGTGAATATTTTCTCCCATTCCGCAGCTTGTCTATTTACTCTGTTGATTATTTCCTTTGCTGTGCAGAAGCTTTAAAATTTAATTAAGTCTCATTTATTTTTCTTTGACAAAGCCGGCAACAATATACACAGGGGAAAGGAAGCCCTATTCAATAAATAGTGCTGGGGAAACTGGATAGCCATGTGTAGGAAAATGAAACAGGACCCCTATATTCTCACCATATACAAAAATTAATTGCAGGCCGGGCGTGGTGGCTCACGCCTGTAATCCTAGCACTCTGGGAGGCCAAGGTGGGCAGATTGCTCGAGGTCAGGAGTTTGAAACCAGCCTCAGCAAGAGCGAGACCCCGTCTCTACTATAGAAAGAAATTAACTGGCCAACCAATACATATAGAAAAAATTAGCCGGGCATGGTGGCACATGCCTATAGTCCCAGCTACTCGGGAGGCTGAGGCAGGAGGATCGCTTGAGCCCAGGAGCTGGAGGTCGCTGTGAGCGAGGCTGATGCCATGGCACTCACTCTAGCCTGGGCAACAAAGTGAGATTTTTGTCTCAAAAAAAAAATTAACTGAAGATGGGTAAAAGACTTAAATGTAAGACGTGAAACCAGAAAAATTCCAGAAGAAAATGTAGGCAAAACTCTTCTAGACAGCAGCCTAGGCAAATAATTTATGAACAAGACTCTAAAGGCAAATATAGCAACAACAAATCCTATTTTAAAAACTGTACTCTAAGGCCACCTGTGACAGTTCACACCTGTAATCCTAACACTTTAGGAGGCCAAGGTGGGAGGATTTCTTGAGGCCAGGAGTTTGAGAACAGCGGAACAACAAAGTGAGACCTTGTCTCTACAAAAAAATTTTAAAAATTAGCCCGGTGTATTGGTGCACACCTATAGTCCCAGCTACTTGGGAGGCTGAGGCAGGAGGATCGCTTGAGCCCAGGGGTTTGAGGTTGCTGTGAGCTAGGCTGACTCCACTGCACTCCTGCTGGGGCAACAGAGTGAGACTCTGTCTCAAAAAAATAAAAACCAAAATCCAACCACCCCCCCCCCCCGCCTCCTGCATTCTAGTAATGAGATTCACAAGAGATTTCAAGTTCCTAAGTGGCTTTTAGTCCTTTTATAACCAAAGTAAAGTAAAATTTAATCAATTTGAACTGTGCTAATGGAATCTGTTATAATACAACCTGGCTTAAAGTGCTGCATCTTTGGCCTATTTGTGCAAAGAGCGCAGAGTTAAAGAGAGTTATAGAAGGCATGCACTATTTCTTTAAAAGGAAATACCGTATTAAGGCTTTTAGCATCTTGTTCTTACCCAAATAAATTTTTTTAAAAATTCAAGGATATGTACATCAATATCAAAAAAGGATTTCTTTTGACATCCAAGACACAGAAAGTCATGGGCATTGTATGGGACAACTCAGAGAAAGCTGTCACTACCCCAGAACGAAGATGACAAAAACAAAAGGAAAAAATCCCATTCGCTCTCTCAGGTGAGAAACAACAGGTTTGGAAATGTTACTGCCAGTCGTATGTCTAATAATACTCTAATAAATAATAAATGTTTAAAAATTAGGAAGATTTAAAGCGCCAATGAATCATTCTCAACCATTTCCGACAAATCACTTTGAAGCAAATTTTGTCTATGATGCTTGAACAAAAAAGGGCAATGATGGCCATTAAGTACAGCTCTCCAAAGGTTTTACTCAAGGGACTTCCGGGTAACTGAATGCCTAGGACTCTCCAGGAGCTGTAGGAAGGCCCCTCTGATCCCTATGTGTGACGATTACGCCTTCGTGCTGGGGAATCCGGTCACGCCGCCGACATAATGACCCTCAAATGTATCTAGCTTGTGGGTTCCAGGCCTTTCAGGAGGAGCTCATATGGCAGTAGTAACATTTTCAGTATTTTTTGCTTGAGAAAATATATAATGGTAAAGAATGACTATAAATTCAGTAATACTTTTTACATTTTAGTCATTATAGCATTATATTATTTTTAAAATAGTAGCACATGCATTTTTGAGATACTATTTTGTCTACAGACAATTCTACCTTGCCCACAGACCCACTGCAAGCATTCCTTCAGGCCTCTGGGTTGGGGACCACTGATCTGGGCTGTCACAGCGTCTAAGCATCTGCTACCCTTGTACACTGGGGGTAGCCCTGCTCCAATGCAAGTGTCCCTGAGAACAGCTAACATTAATTTATCAGTCATTTTCACTCTAAACTGGCTTATGATAAGCTTCCCATTAAACAGCTAGCTTAACGTAGTTTCCATTAGGAGAGACGGAGGAAAAGCCAAAGGTCTGGAAGGAAATTAAGGCAGATTTAACCAAGTTTATGACTTTCTCAAGAGACAGACCCATACAACCACTCACGAGGGAGGCTCATATTCACTGCCACTCATCTATTTCCACAGAAGTGACCCTAAACCTTTCTGTTCACCATATCTCGACTCCTTACTTTGGAGATAATTACTCCACCTCTATAAAGAAAACTGAAGCTTTCTTAACCCAACCTTTTCATTCGCTTCCCTCTACTCCAAAGTCACCCATTCTTCTTTACCTGGATAGACCTTAAGGTGGTGTTTCTCAACCTCTTTTCATTATCATCTCCCAAAGCAGCTTTTTCATACTTTTTTCCCTCAACCTCCCCATGAAATTTTAATACCACAAATACAATGTCTATATCTATATCTATATATAGATATAGATATAGGCTACATGGTACGTGAAAGTGACAGCTCCCCTATGGAAGGACATTCAAATAGTCCCGTGATGACCCCACTGCTCCAGGCTAGAGTGGACATTACACAGGTTACACATGAGAAAGACTCACCAATAAAAAACATGAATTTTGAATTCTATGGCATTCTCAACCTCTGTTCAGTATCTATCTATCGATCGATCGATCGATCGATCGATCGATAGATATCTGTGCTTTATACATAAAAGGAGTAACATTTTTTACTCCCGTCCCTAGCCAAGAACCAATTTCCACCCCCTTGGGGGTGATATCGCTCCTATTAAGAGCCCATGAGCTAGGGGAGTAGGAGTTGGGGGGTGATCATGTAGCTCTGGGTCCTAGAAGGGCTCACAGAGCTGAAGAAAGAATAAAGCCAGCTTCTTGCCTACACTCCCAAACACACACACACACACACACACACACACACACACACACACACACACACAATTAAAAAAAACAAAAACCAGGAAGGTTACAAAACATCTGCACTATTCCAGCTAAGTCAGCAGGATGGCCGAGCCTGTCAACTAACCTAGGCGAGTCCGCCATCAATTTACCTAGGGGCTTTCAAATCACTGGCACGAGTCACTGATTTGTTAAAGGAAAATATTTGCGGTACACTAATGACATAAACCTAAGAGGTTTTTGCTGTGTGGCCTCAGTGAAAGCAGATGGTAGAGGGAGTTTACAAAAAAACACATTTTAGAAGTTGCCTGCAATCTCCTCTGTGACTTCAAAGCCACTTCCGGACAGGCTACGCAGCTCCCCAGTCCTTAATTGCCACTGCCCTCCTCCTCCCCCACCCACACCTGAACGCATGATAACCGCTGCGCTAAACAGACAAAGTGTGTGAGTTTGAAGTTTACCTAAAAATGAAGTTTCAGGATTATTTGCCACATCTGCTGCTCCAATTCTCGTTACTACCAAGAAATTGAGAGTTGATGCTGATACGATTAAAATACCAGATAGAACTGGTGATTCCTTTTTAAAATCATGTACTTACTGTATCTACTCAAAAGCCACAATCCTTAAATTAAACATAGTTTCACAAATAGAATTTTACAAAGAAACTCTTGGGTGTTAACAGTGTTACTAAAATTATCACTCTCAGATCTCTTCCTTGTGGATAGAAGCAATTAATGTTTTTGAAGTCTTACTCATTTTAATATGTCCTGAAGATCAAAACTTCCTTTAATATTCTTCTGAGACATCTAAAAATATCCTCCACCAAAGAAAATTACTCACTCTTGGTGTATCTAGAGTCAGAGCATGTACAAGCCTACACAACCACAGCTTTTAAGTCTAGGACGAGGAACGTTTTCAGAGTGAATTTTAGCATCCCTACTATTTGGTCTGAAAACATTCTGGAAGACCATGTTTTAAGAAACTGGATGAACATGAGGCTACATGTTACATGAAAGTGATAGCTCCCCTATGAAAGGACATTCAAATAGTCCCCTGTGATGCCCCCACTGTTCCAGGCTAGAGTGGACATTACACAGATTACACATGAGAAAGACTCACCAATAAAAAACATGAATTTTGAATTCTATGGCATTCTCAACCTCTGTTCAGTAAGATTCTGATAGGCTTATTAAGAACAACCAAATTTAATTTATCATACACCTTATAGATACTATTTTCAGCTCAAAGTTTTGGAATTGTAAACTAACTCTTGTGTGTGTACACATGTACCTTGGCCTACTTGGTGTTCCTGTAACATTTTACTTCCGCCAGAAAATGACAAAAGTAGAACAACTTCTTTGGCAAATGAAACATTCCTTTGTACATTCCTTTTGTAGCATCTCATTTCATTCTACTAGTAAAGATTTTACCACCGTAGCTGAAAAGTAAGATGCCAAATACCTCTGGTGAAGATATGACTGGTAATGTTATCTAGGGGAAAAAACCCATAGATTTTAGTGTTAGTCAAAGTTAGGGCACAGTCCCATTCTGCAGTGCAGCTTCTGTTTCTATGCATTAGGTTATTAAGTATGAAATGTCTGATTTCCTCAAGTACTGACAGTTGATATCTCTGACATGTCACTTTGACGTTTCTTGGTTTATGTTTATTGTGAAGTATATCCTCAGTCTTCCAAATGCATGTTTTGGCTTGTAATTATCTTTCAAAAAAATTTTCAGAGTAATTTTTGTGAAACCATGGATAAGTCAAAAACTTGTGTTATTTTCGAATATAAGTGTGTCGTGGAACCAATGCAGCACAGACAGCTTGAAATATCGAGGCGTTTGGGAAGGATGTGGCTGATGAACGCACAGTTTGAGAAGTTCTTCTGATCTGGTGATTTTAATCTTGAAATTGAGCCATGTGGGCAACCTGAGAACAAGGTAGATGATGATGAGCTGAAAGCTGTAGTGGAAGCGAATCCATTTGAACCTACGTGTGAATTAGCAGCAAGGTTTGACGTTACTGTTACAACATTTGGACCATTTGAAATAAATGGGCAAGGTAAAGAAGCTGGACAGATGGGTTCTGTGTGAATTGCAAGCTTCAGAAGAGAAATCATCTTGAAGCCCGCCCTTCTTTGCTGTCACGTCATAAAGGCGAATCATTTTTACACCGTATTGTGACATGTGATGAAAAATGGATTCTTTTTGACAATCACAAGCATTTGGCACAATGGTTGGATAAATATGAAGTGCAGAAACATAGTCTAAAATTGAACAGTTATCAAAAAAAGCTAATGGTGTCTGTTTGGTGGTCTAGAGCTGGCATTATCCACTACAGCTTCATGAAACCTGGTCAGTCGATTACAGCAGATGTCTACTGCACCCAATTGGACAAAATGGTGAGGAAGCTTGTGACTGGGCAGCTGAGATTGCTCAACGTGCCACGTGTCGCATAAACAACACTGCTATAACTACGGAAGCTGGAGTAACTCTCCGACATTCACTGTACTGCACCAACTTTTTCCAGGCTTTGGACCACTTCTTGCAAGGAAAAATATTTAACTCACAGCAAGCTGTGAAAACTGCCTTTCGCAATTTTACTGCCACTCACTCTCCAGGCTTCTTTGCTGCCGGCATGACCAAGCTACTGTTAGGATGGCAACACTGTGTTGATAGTTTAGGCGCACACTTTGATTAATTGTACTGCTTCCTGTTTGAGATATAGTAAACTGCTTTTGATTTGAAATTGGACGTTTGATATTTAATGACCTAATAACTTTGGGCAAGTTACCTTTTTCCTGTGTCAATATCCTCATCTCTAAAGTCAGGATAATAATACACATACTTCATAGGGATATTTTTAAGATTAATCAATATATAACATGCAATGTTTAGCACAGAGCTTAACACACAGTAAGTGTTCAATAAATGTTGGTTCCGTTTTCATGAAACAGATTTGGGCCTGAAATTACCCAAATCACTGCCTCAGCACTGTGCTTCAGTGTGCCCCGGGGAAACCTGATTACTATGTGCTCTACTTTAATCTTTGATTTCCACTGTTTCTATGACACCAGAGTGCAAATTCATCAGAATTTGTTATTTATCCAGCATGGCAGGTACACAGGGTACTGTGTGTGGGGCAGGAAAAATGCAAACATCTGCTATAAAAATCTTGTGGATTAAGGATTACTCATGAGAGGAATTTTTCTATTATCTAGTCGTTAATGTCCCCGTCTCTTCTCTTTATCATGCATTAACTGGAATGTGGTTGAGTACATCCTACTTAAGGGGAAAAAAAAACCAACTCCTTAAAGACAGATCACGGGAGGATTAATGGAGAGTATACGATGCCTACCAGACAATGGTTCTTAAATAAGTGCTGCCAGCTACCATGAATCCTTCCCTAAACTTCTATTTTTAGTAACCTGTTCTATAAGATGAACAATAGCTTATATGCCACATATTTTAGCAGTTGGCTGACCAAGTATTAGAAAACACCCTAGGTTCAAACAACAACAAAAAAATCACTCAAAGGTGACGATGACAAAATTATCATTTTCCGAGCAACTACCCTTATGATGATAAAGATAAAAAAAAAATAATTTGATAGAAGCAAAAGGAAGAGCCTTACAACAGCATTAGGTACATAAATAAAACACTGGGGAAAATGTAGAGATCCAACAAAAACTGAACAATCTGGTCCATGACGATGTACAAACATAAGAGAATATTGCACCCATTAAAAATAACAGGTACAAACATTAGGTAGAAATGTGAGCAACCACATTTCTACCTCATGTTTATTCTGTGAAATACCAGAATATAAAATGGTATGTATAATATCTGTGTGTATATACAAATATAAATAAAATGAACACCTTTTGAAAAATATCTTTCCAGATGAACCACTATCAAAGTTCTAGTTCTTAAAGCTTCCCCTATTTACTCAATTAAATGTTGCTGCTTTACTCTCCCATGTACGTCTTTCAACCATCTTTGTTTTCCAACACAGCTGTCTTTGACGCCTTCATTCATTGTCCTGATAAGATTTCACTGCCTATCATGCCGACTTGTCCAACTCTAGGAAAACAAATATATACAAAGGTGACAGAGTGGAAAACGAAGTCACTGTGTGGCTGTCGCAGCCTCCCACATGCTGCCTGCCGTCGACGCGAGGGCTCCCCGGCAGGAAAGGAGGGTGTGATGGAAGAAGACTGGCAGGCTGCAATACGCCTCAAAGGTATTTTCTAACTATTTCTGCCTATCTACCTGCCATGTTTCCTCGAAAATTAGACAGTCTTATATTTATTTTCCCTCAAGAAGACACCCTAGAGCTTATTTTCAGGGGATGTGTTATTTTTTTTCAGTACAACAATCTACATTTATTCAAATAGAGTGAAGTCATCTTCTTCTGGAACATCATCCTCACTCTCCAAACCCCGAATTCCATCCTGAATTCTTGTGACTCTATTTCCTTTAGAAAAATTGGCCCCCATCTCTCCTGTCAAGCACTTTAGCTCTCATGGGGCAGATGAGAAGGGCTGCTCATCTTCTTGACCGCTCCTCGACGACATGCATGGGTTGTGCAGATGCACTGTGTAGCCACACTCATCACTAGGTCTTACTTTCAGGGTAGGGCTTCTATTACCCAAATGGTTAGAAATCCTGCTAGTGCTTATTTTATTTGTGATTAGGCAGCTGAGATTGCTCAACAGAGACAGGCCAACCCTGTCTTATTTTCGAGGAAACACAGCATGCGTGCATAGGAAACACATATTTAAGATAATCGACTGCGGCATGTCTCTTACCTATTGCACGAATCCGATTCTAGTGAAGAAGGCACTTCTTGAATATCAGTACAACTAGAAGAATCGTCTGGTCTTTCCGACTCCAGTTTCCCTGAGGAGCCCAGCTGTGACTTAGGGAAGTAGTCTGTTACTGAGGTCAAATCTGAGAACTTCATTTTATTATCTTCCTTTCCTACACGGGAAAAGGAAATTTAAAAAAGAATAGAAAAATTTAAGTGTACCTTATAATCTACAGCCTCTGTATGCCTATTATTTCTGCAACATTAAATACTGCTATTTACACTTAGTAAAATAGAAATGTATGTAACATTGACTCCAAAACTCTAGTGACAGCCAGAGAACAAGAATCAATTATATTGCCCAGCCTGTGTTCTTCCAAGATTAAAGATAAAATTTCTTTTAGAACCAGGAGTAGTGAGAACCTTGTAAGTTTAATGAGGCACCTACTTACAGATCACTGAGGAATTCTTGCATATTTCATTGATAAGAGAACACTGACAAACGTAAGAATTGTAACACAAAGAGACTAAAGATTCAACTAATAAGAAAAGCACAATATTTCTCACTAACAAGAGGGTATACCTGTCTGGACATTTCTCTAAATCTGTTAAATAGAATCTAATTTTTCACTATGAAAAAGGAAAAGTAACCAGACAAAATGAGCATTTCCATTTGACCCAACATGCATCCTATTTCTATGCTTCGCCTGTCATATTCTCAGTTTTTGAGGTCTCTTATTACAGATTTTTTCAGGCACTAAACTCATTTCTAGGAATATTCTTTAACAACTGCATGAACAAATTCAAGTTGTTCAAAGAACACCAGGTGTGTACTGAGGTAGGCAGCAAACAACCTACTAAATGGCACTAACAGAACTGAGGGCAAAAATAAGGAATGTAATAGTACGTAAAAGAATAAAATACTTAGGAATAAATCTAACCAAGGAGGTAAAAGACTTGTATGCTGAAAACTACAAAATTTCTAAAAGAAGTTAAAGAAGAAATAAATAAATGAAAAGATATCCCACATTCATGAATTAGAAGATTTAAGACTGTTAAGATGTCAATAGTACCCAAAGCAACCTACAGATTATAGAAATAGAAAAATCCATCCTCAAAAATTCCAAGGAAAACCAAATAGCAAAAATAATCTTGAAAAATAATAGAGGACTCAGACTCAATTTCAAAGTTTACTACAAAGCTACAGTAATTAAAACAGTATAGTATTGGCATAAGGACAGATACATAGACCAATGGTATAAAATAGAGAGTACAGAAATAAACCTTCACATACGTTGTCAATTGATTTCTGACAGGACTACCAAGAGCAATCAATGGTACTAAGAATTATATATCCACATGCAATAGAATGAAGGTGAACCTTTACGTTACATCATATACAAAAATTAACTTAAAATGGATCAAAGACCTAAACATATGAGATAACACCATAAAATTCTTAGAAGAAATCTTTATAACATTGGATTTGGCAATGACTTCGTAGATATAACATAAAAAGCACAAGCAAAAAAAGGGAAAAAAATTAAACTGGAATTCATCAAAATTAAGTACTTTTGTGCATGAAAAAATCAAGAAGGCAAAAAGACAACATAGAAAATGTTCATAAATATTTGCAAGTCACATGTATAGTAAGAATATAGAAAGAACGCTTAAAATGCAACAATAAAAAATCCCCAAAAGAACCCAATTTAAAAATGGGCAATTAAGGTGCAGTGGCTCATGTCTGTAGTGCCATCCCTTTGGGAGGCTGAGGCAGGAAGATCACTCAAGCCCAGGAGTTTATGAGACCAGTGAGCAACATAGTGAGACCCTGTCTTACAAAAAAGAGAGAGAGAGAGAGAGATAAATTAGCCAGGTGTGGTCATGCATGCCTGTCTGTAGTCCTAACTGCTTAGAAGGCTGAAGCAGAAAGATTGCTTGAGCCCCAGAGTTTGAGGTTGCTGTGAGCTAGGCTGACGCCACGGCACTCTAGCCTGGGCAACAGATGAGACCATGTCTCAGGAAAAAGAAAAAGAAAAAAAAGAAAAGAAAATGAGCAAAGGACTTGAATACAAATTTTCTTCTTCTCCAAAGAAAAATAAATGGCCAATAAGCACATGAGAAGATGCTCAACATGATTAGGCATTAGGAAAATGCAAATCAAAACCATAATGACATACCTCTTCATACCTACTAACATAGCTACAATTAAAAACAACACAAAACAAAACAGAAAATAACAAGTGTTGGCAAGAATGTGGAGAAACTAGATTCCTAAAGTATTGCTGGAGGGAATGTAAAACAATGCAGTCACTATGGAAAACAGTTTGGTGCTTTCTCAAAAGGTTAAACATAGAAATGCCCTATGACCCAGAAACTCTATTCCTAAGTACACATCCAAAAGAATTAAAAGCAGGAACTTAAAGACATCTTTACACCAGTGTTCAGGGCAGCATTATTCACAATGACCAAAAGGCAGAATTAATACATAACAGATAAATGGATAAACAAAATATGGTGTCCATATATACTACGGATTATTAGTTATATTTATTCAATCATAAAAAGAAATGACATTTTAATATGTGCTATATCATTGATGGACCCTGAAAACATTATGTTTAGAGAAATAAGCCAACACAAAAAGACAAATATTGTATAATCTCACTTACGTGAGGTACCTAGAATAGGCAAATTCACAGACACAAAATAAAATAGAGATTACCAGGGCTGTGAGGGAGAGTTATTATTTAATAAGCACAGAGTTTGTGCTAGGAATGAAGAAAAGCTTTTGGGTGATGGTTACACAGTATTTTGAATGCATTTAATGCCAATGACTTGCACATTTATTAGTGGTTAAAAAAGATAAATATTCTTATGCATATTTTACCAGAATAAAGAAAAAGTAATAAGGAATTTCTTTGTGCACTTTCCCCCATTATGATTCTGCTTTGTTCACTGACCCAAAGCCCTGGCAATAGAAACAGAATATTAATCTTGAATTTTAAAATGGATCAGAATTGAGAAATGTGCCATGCATTAGCCTACCAGGTGTACTAGCTTTAGATCATTTACCAGAACATTTCATCCAAAGTAAACACCAGTATTCTATAACAAAAATAACTGATTCTCTTTATAGGATATCTTGGGATCTCCAGCAATAAATCCTATACCTAGAAAATCCTCAAGCTTAAATAACTAAGAAATTTATGATTTATCATTAACTGAAAGGAAGACAGACAAAAGAGATTTCTTCAGGACATTCTTCCAATCATTTTTCCCACAACAATAAACCTAGTTTATATTCAACAACTGCTATGAAGTTTATCTAAAAATACTTCTTCCTATTTCCAATAACTAATAACTCCAAAGTAAATTCCTTTGATTTTAATTTCTTTTTATATTAAAAGTAATTAATGAAATTCAACATTACTTCTGTTTTTAATTAAAGTCTCTTACCCATGCATACAGATAATAGCTTTTCTGTAGCTTCATCTTCTTGTTTTGTTGTTACTGTTTTTTGCGACATTCCAACAGTTTTCTTATATCCTTTTTTGGCCTGATCCACCAGAAGCTGAAATTCATTCTGATGTTTTTTACCTGAAATTCAAAAGATCTTTTCTGTAAAGCTATGACTATGAAGGTTAACCATCTACAACTGACAAACTGAATATCAAGAGATGTACAAGCATCCAGAGGCAGGAGGATCACTCCTGTGCCCAGGAGTTTGAGGCTGCTGTGAGCTAGGCTGATGCTACGGCACTCTAGCCTGGACAACAGAGTAAGACTCTGTCTCAAAAAAAAAAAAAAAAAAAAAAAAAGCATCCTTAGAAATCACTTGCAACCAATGTAAAAGCTGCCAAGCATAAGAATACAAACAGCTAGGACATGGATGCCCTCCTTTTTAACTTCTCCCTTCCTCAAACACAATCATGGAAACACGACACTCCTCATCTGCTATTCTAGGTTTCTTCCCAAACCTCATAGAGAAGCTTTTGATGGAGCATGAAAGATGCCACTTTCTTAAATACATCCAAAAATGCCGTTCTAACTTCCAAGATACACAAGAGTACTAGGATAAGGAGTACTCATTGAATATAAAAAAATAGAAGTGTCTAGGAAATTGGAGTCATAACAACAAAAGATATCCATTCCAATTCTCCCTTTTTTCTTTACATTTCCTTCCTGTTTCCCAAAAGAACTCCTTTACTTTAATATTCTAAGACCTCCCCCAGCCAATTCCACATTATCTTAGGATACTATAATAACATCAATCTTTACGTACTACCTTAATGCCTTTGAATACAATTTAATTAACCCTGGCCTCAAGGTCATTATTATTAATGGACACCAATTTACTCAATAAAGAGTAGCCAGTCATCATCAGCACACAGACTTTAGGGCATCTATTTGTGATCTGAACTGTGGTTCAGATAGCTGAGGTTGCAGTTTACTTATCTAGCAGTCTTAAATACGTAGGTCATGGTTCAAAACTATGTCATAAATCCTGTAAAATTTTTACAAAGAATCATACAGCAAATAATTAAAACAAAAATTTGAGACCGTTTTCATACAAAAACCAACAACGTACATTTTATCACTCGGTTTCTTCCATTTTCCTTGTAGCACGATACTAAGATACATGGAATACACTGGGTATAGGGAAAACATGTGCTCTAATTGAAAACTATGGCATTATCTAAAGCTACCCTTCCAGGATTCTAGCTATTTGCTGCCTGTCTCTATGGTACAACTCTGTGAGTTGTTGCAAATAAGCAAAATCCTGCCTGGTGAGGTTTCGTAGACTCCCCTCTCCCACTATGGAAAAAGCCAGTTTTCCTCCATTTGCACATTCATTTCAATATTCCTGATCTATAAAATGTGACTTTTCTTCGGATTCTCCTTTGAAAACCTTATAAACATCTTATCAGTCCCCTAATTGTGAGTTTTAAAACGTCCTTAATAAAAACATATTTATTTTATGTCTATGATAACATTTTACTTGCTTTTGAAAATTAGCTTTTAACATGGGAAGAGAGGGCACTAAGTTATGAAGTACAACAAGGAAAAGAGGAGAGAAGTTGTAGCCTATGTGTAGACACTGACAGGCACAGCAAAGACATTTGGGAAAGAATGCTCCTAACTCCAATCTATCTAGGTGTATCATTCTAACAGGAACACTGCCATCTTCCAACCTCCAGTACATCCTGTCTGTGCACGCATGATCGACCTTCCTTGCTGTCACCATTCAACAACTGTCCTTACTGCAATTAGAGACTGCCCTCTAATTTATGCTCTGGACTCTACAGTGAAGGCCTCTCAAAGACAGGCTGTTGTTTTCAAGACGGAGAGTGTGCATTGTGAGAAAAGCTCAAAAAGCACAGACTGGCATATTATCTTAATGAAATAATCGAGAAAGAAAACAGAAAGTACCAGAGTGCATTAAAAATGGAAAAGGTAAATATGTTTTGTGATACTTTTGTTTCAGCAATGTGTGTGTGTGTGTGTGTGTGTGTGTGTGTAGTTACTAAGTGATATAAAATGTATTTCTCACTGTGGGTTGAGTCCAAACGGTCTGAAAGTCACTGAGTTAAGTGTCTCCCAATTTAAAAAGCAAACATAAATAAATAAATAAACAAACAAACAAAACTCACCCTTGACCCAATGCCCACCTCTGGCTACACCCTCACTTTTCTGCTCTCCTTGATGCAGTGGCTCTTCCCCCAGAGAGCTGCCTACCTGCCTCACTTCCTCGCCTCCAATTTGGTCTCGATCAACTCTAAGCAGTTCTGAGCCTCCTCCTTCCTTAAATCTCTTCTCAAGGTTTGCTGCCTCCGAGAGCTGTGAAACCCACTGGTTCGTTCTCTCTCCTTTTACACACCCTTTCACGACATGCGACACCATTCGAGATTTCTCCTTTCTTGACACAGTCTCTCCATCTAGATTTTCTGATGCCGTATTTCTCAAGATTTCCTATCTCACGGCACTCACTCTGCTGGCTCCTCCTCTGGTCGTCCTCCCTGCTACCGAGCCCTGAGGGTTCTCGCCTCAGGGCTCCTCAGCAGACGAGTGAAAAACCTATTGTCACAATAATACTAAAAAGTTGTCTATTTTTGGTACGTTGACATAGGCACTGTACAGTGAGCACTTGAGGAAGCACCTGTTTGTGTGAGTTGTGGCTCGAGCCCTCACTGCACGTTGGGACACATCAGAAGAACTTTATTTGCAGCTCTCGTTTCATCACAGAGGTCCTTAGAAAGATACGCACTCAAGGGTCAAAATTTAATAAGATTAATAAATTTTGTCATTGCTTCATCAAGGACATTCTTAAGTGTAACTGACTCATTTTTTTTTTTTTTAGTGGTAAGGCATGGCCAGGTAGAATGCAGTGACTACCAGCATAGCTCGTTGTCACTTCCTTAATACACACTAAGGCACGGCAATTTTACTCCCACTGCTATTGTACCTTCCGTGTGTGCGTCAGTGAAGCCAAGCTAATGCTCCTGAGATTCACCCACACTGTTTCCCATGTCAGAAGTTCATTCTTTTTTTACTGCTGAATACTGCTCCACTGTACATGGATATATCGCATTGTGCTTACAGATATTTGCATTGTTTTCAGCTGAAGATAATATAAGGTGCTATAACCACATCTGCCTGTAACACTCACCAAACTGTTCACTTACAACTGAGAAACTTTATACAAATTATATCTCAATGAACCTACTTCAAAAAACTTCCGTATGGACACATGCTTTCATTTCTCCTGGGTAAATACCTAGGAGTAGAATGACTGATGTTAACAGGGAAAAAAAAGCCAAACTCTGTAAAATAATTTTAAAGAGATTTACTTTGAGCCAAATTTGAGGACCATGACCTGGAGCCACGCCCAAGAAGCCTTGAGCAAGTGGACTCGGTGTGGCTGGGTTACAGTTTGGTTCCATACATTTCAGGGAGACAGAGGTTACAGGTAAAGCCATCAATCGAATACGTGGGAGGCATACATTGGTTTGGCCCCAAAAGGTGGGACATCTCAAAGTGGGGGCTTACAGGTTATAGGTTGTTTTATAGATTCTTTGACTTGTACTTGGTTAAGGACATGAAGCTTTGTCTAGAGGCTTGAATGTTTTAAGATAAGAAGCTCTTATCAGAGATAAGCCACCCATATATTGGATGTGTAAATTGAGGACCTGCAGGTTTATCTTGACTACCCATAGCCTGTTAATGGGTTACAAAGGATGTCCTCAAGAAGGGAGGGGGGCATGATGAGGCCTGTCTGACCTCCTTCCTCCTGGCAGGCAGTTTAGTTGTAGGATATCCCTTTGGCCACAAGGGGGTCCATTCAGCCAGCCCCTGGGGGAGGGGGTGAGCCAGGATGGCAGCCAAGTAGGAGCCCAAAGAGCGCCAGAATAGACTGGAACTTAACACAGGTGGAGGTGGCTGTAGGTAGGTGAGGTGTTCTTGAGAAAATAATGAAGTTGACAAATAATCTATTTGTGTAAATGTATTAGAAAGCGATTTATAGTTCTGGTGAAGGGTTCACAGATATGTTAGTACTAGGTAAACAGAAAACTAAACAAATAGAAGAGAATTATTCATTATAAGAAAAATGGAACATCTCCCTGAAAGGAATGAGAACCATAGTATTGTCATAGACAGAATATCTGGCTCAAGCTGTAAACAACATATCTAATCATGACAGGCTGGGTGTGGTGGCTCACGCCTGTAATCCTAGCACTCTGGGAGGCCGAGGCAGGTGGATTGTTCTAGTCAGGAGTTCGAAACCAGCCTGAGCAAGGGCCAGACCCTGTCTCTACTATAAATAGAAAGAAATTAATTGCCCAACTAATATATATAGAAAAAATTAGCCGGGCATGGTGGCGCATGCCTATAGTCCCAGCTACTCGGGAGGCTGAGGCAGGAGGATCGCTCAAGCCCAGGAGTTTGAGGTTGCTGTGAGCTAGGCTGACACCACAGCACTCACTCTAGCCTGGGCAACAGAGCGAGACTCTGTCTCAAAAAATTAAAATTTAAAAAAAAAAAAAATCATGACAAAACATTCAGAGGAGGGGAAGAAGGCAGTGGTAAAGATCAGGATTTATAAAAAAGCTAAATCTTCTAGCACTCTGGGAGGCCGAGGCGGGCGGATTGCTCAAGGTCAGGAGTTCAAAACCAGCCTGAGCGAGACCCCGTCTCTACCATAAAAATAGAAAGAAATTAATTGGCCAACTAATATATTAATATAAAATCAGCGGGCATGGTGGCTCGTGCCTGTAGTCCCAGCTACTCGGGAGGCTGAGGCAGCAGGATCGCTTGAGCCCAGGAGTTTGAGGTTGCTGTGAGCTAGGCTGACGCCACGGCACTCACTCTAGCCTAGGCAAGAAAGCGAGACTCTGTCTCAAAAAAAAAAAAAAAAAAAAAGCTAAATCTTCATTTACACCAATAGTAAACATGTAAAACTGAAAAACTTCAAGAACTAGCAGAAAGAATAGTTTCTTATAAACAGGAAGGTAATTGCCAAAAGAAAAGCCAAGGTTGTTGCTGTCAGGGAATGGAGGCGGCTGTTGGTAGAAGAGGCAAGAGACTGTTTTTTTTTTTTATAAGCCCCACAGAAATATGTGATTTTTTAAAAAAACTGCATGCATATAAAACATTAATAAAAATGCTTAAAAGGAGCTATATCAATAGTCTATTTAGAGCCTGATATTAATTCAAAATGTACAGCTAAACTGTAAGGCTAAGTATTGAAGCTTTAGGAAGCATGTGAAAGCTTTAGGGGGAAAAAAGGTTAAACAATTGAGGTTTATTTTAAGGCTAAAAGAATTAATTTAACATCACCTGTTTAGTAAAGCTAAACTTGCGATAGAAATTTGTATATTTTCTGGAGTCTGTCTACTACAGATTTTTCCTAGTATGGCATATAACTGTTAAATACCAACCTTTTAGTTATTTAAATTACTTTCTTTCAATGCAAATTTTCTAGTTTCTTTAACTTTACAGGCCTTAGTTTTCCCAATTCAGTTATCGTATGATATTCTTTTCTATGTCTTCTCTAGAGAAAAATCACTGAGGTTTCCCAGAAGTTGATCAAAGAGGCTCACATCATACTTATCTTTCTACAAGAGAACAACGGTGACTTTCCTTGTATCGCCTACAGTCCAAGAATAGCCTAGGCTCCTTTTACTACTCTAGCACAGGCCACCACACCTACATCGAGGTGAACACGACCTTTCAAAATTTAAGAACTGAAAAAAGAAAAAAATCATCTTAGCACAGTTAAAACACACCATGACCGGGAATACTCGTAACAAACATTTATTAACTATCTACTATGTCAGGCATTTAAATTTAAACTAAAAACCAACCAACCGAGCAAACAAAGAGTAACAACTACCTAACTGATGAAGCAGTGATGTGCTAGCCCTGGGAAACACAATGTACAAAGGCCACTTAAGGAAAAGGGAGTGATAAGTTGTGAAGCTGGTGACAAATAATAAAATGACAACTATTCTTGGCACAAATTTGCTAGCTATAGAAATGCTAAAATTCTTTAGAGAGGTACTGTTATTTAGAGGCTTGAGGACAGGATAGAGTCAGGAATGTTTCTATTTTAATCCCATCTTCTTCTCACAGAGATGCTTTGAGACCGGCTATTAATAATTAATATTTGCAAAGTGCTTAGTGATAAGTTCAAAGCAGAATGCTAGTCACAAATCAAAAAGCAGACACACAGAGTACAAAAAAAGGTCACTGTCTGAGTAAACACTCAACTAAAACTCCATCTATTAAGTAATATTAACAAAAGTCTGTGTCAAACATTAACATAAAAACAATTCTCTAAAAAATTACTTAAGATGAAAAACAACAACACAAGTTCTTTGCAAATAAAGAAAATGTTGCACAACTTACGGTATTTACTGTGAATTTCTTCTATTTCCTTTTCTGTTTGGTCCTTAGTAAAAACCATTACCTAAAATGATAAAAAAAAAAAAAAACCTTAATAAAAATTCCCCAAAAAAATGTCAAAATGGAAATCAATATTACAAACTTTAAAATCTCAAATGTGGGTGTTTAAAACAGAGAAAAATAATCTCTTATCTCTGTTTTATCTAAATCTAAGAAGAATAACTCCTATGTACTTCTCCTGAATACCATAAATAGCATCCCTTTTACTCATTTTGTTCCACACTGCTTTTTTCTCATCAGTAGATAATGCAACACTGATTCTATTATATGAAGTGTTAAGAAAATGATCAATTAAATTTCCTATTAACAATAATTTTACACATTCATTCATGTAACAGATAACACTTGAAACTAGAAGACCAAAGACATTTAACCGATTATTAATAAAGAAGATTTCTTCCATTGCTTTCCAGCTTTTCTTATCTGTCTTCTTTCCTTTCCAACCTAACTTCTCCAGGTCACACTAAAAAGCAATATATACATATATAGAAAATGCAACAGTACAAGACTCTGTGTGTTAAATTTCCAGTTCCACTGTCTAAATCCCAGACTTAAAAGGTCAGACATCTATTTACCCAATTCATTCCAGTCACTATCTTACAAGTCAGCACACAGGTAATAATAAAGTCATGCAAATTCCATTTTTTTTTCTACTATCTAGTTATAAACTTACTTCCCTAAGGTCGCTGCTGTCCTCACAAACATATTACCGATGGTCTAGAAAAATAAAAGTCTACTTGGGAGAGCCCAAAACACTTTCTCCTGTGTCATGGGACACAATGACTATTTTCTTCTTTGGTATCCTGTCCTCAAGTTTTGGGCCATCAAGCTAAAGGAAGGCAACAGTGAAGAATTTTAGGTCTCTCATTCCCTCAAAAGTTCCACAGAACAGTCAACTCTCATAAACTCTCAGAATTACTTATTACTCCATAAGTATAGTCACAGAAGTGCAGAATGCCAGAGCTAAAAGGGGATCTCAGAGGCCCTATAAGTTCAACCCCTGAGTTTTACAGATGAAGACCCAAAAGACCATAGAGATTAAGCAGTTTATCAGATGCAACCAGCATAGAAAAAAAACAGTATCAAAGCTACCTGATGCACAGGTATAGGCTTTTTCTACAGGACTCCAGCTCATAAACAAACTCTACTTTGGATTCCATTTTGTGCTAGAAGACTACTAAATATGATCAAATATCATTCTAAAAATGAGCTGCGAGTAAATCACTATATACTAAATGGAAATGTGTGTGTTCTAATACATTTCCCACTGAACAAATTAACAATGGCTTGCTTTAATTTGATTAGAGTACTGAACTTTTCTTTCCTTCATTTCCACCCAGATACTGAAATAGACCACCAACATACACTTTCATTGAGTTTACTAGCTTCAAGACGCATCCTGGTCTTCTCCATATTTTCAATTTCTTGAACTATTTCAGCAGCTGTTAAAATAAGAACATATAACCACTGTTAATTACATGGTTTCGATCATTGTACTATCCTTAGGTTGCTAACATCCAGAAGATGGGTGATGGGTATATGCGAACTCCTTGCCCTACTTTTATAATTTTTCTGTAAATCTATTATTATTTCAGGAAAAAAGTTAAAAAAAATAAGAACATGGAGTCAAAATACTGAACTCTTAACACATGCACAAAGTTCAAAATATAACCAGAAGAGTAAAGTCATTTTGCTTAATCCTTTGAATATACAGGTATAAACTACAGTCCCAAGGAAAATATGAAAATTAATTTGTTTGAGTTCATTTATTAGGCTTTATTTGCTCAAATTCCAATGTACTAAATGCAGTACAACACTCTACTTTTCAAGGAAAGAGAAAGGTCTACAAGTAACAGGGGGAAATGTCCTTGCCTTCAAACCCTTTGTCTGTAGGTATAGTTACCTACATAAAAAGACAACACATCTGAAATTTGCTTCAAAAAAATCCATGGGGAAAGAGGTAAAAATGGCAGATGAAACATTAGGATAGTTTGATAACTGTTTAAGCAGGATAGTAGGTATATGGGGAAATCAGTAAACTCTTTCTCTACATCTATCTGTGTTGAAATAATCCAAATTAACGTTTTTTTTTAAGTCCATAGACCTTAAGAGGATTACTTAAGAATGCAATAGCATATACATAAAAAGTACATATAAAGTATTTGAAAAGAAAGTTTCAAATACTCCCACAAATAAATAAGAAAAAAAGAGGTCCACAGCATATAAAAATTGGACATAGTATTTAAGCAGGTACTTCACCAAAGAGTGTATACTTTACCAAAGAGATGGCCAATGAGTATGCGGATAACAAATCAGTACGTATGTCGATATGTTGGGAAGGAGGATTCTTACTTCGGGAAACAGTATCCTTGAAACCCACTTTTATCAGGTATCAAGTGGCTTGCCCGAAGTCACCCAGCCATAAACCTGAAAAACCAGGACTATAACCTAGGCTCTCCAGAGCCCCTCTTCACCTTAATATAAATGTAAGATTTACACAGGACTAAAGAGCCTGCCTAACACTGAGGCTAAATCAGAATAACAGAGGTGACTCCCTTTCTCCCTGCCATGACAAGTAACAGCAGTCTCCCACCAGAAGACAGATAACCTGGAGACAGAGCCTCACTGAGGCACAGGCTGAGAGGGAAAACCTAAGTTGTGAGGGACATAGGTACAACAACTCTTACAGACATTGGCCTAGGGAAAGAATTTATGAAGAAGACCCCAAAAGCAATCACAGCAACAACAAAAATAAACAAATGGGACCTGATCAAATTAAAAAGCTTCTGCAGGCCGGGTGCGGTGGCTCACGTCTGTAATCCTAGCACTCTGGGAGGCCGGGGCAGGAGGATTGCTCGAGGTCAGGAGTTCGAAACCAGACTGAGCAAGATCGAGACCCCATCTCTACTATAAATAGAAAGAAATTAATTGGTCAACTAATATATATACATATATAAAAAATTAACCGGGCATGGTGGTGCATGCCTATAGTCCCAGCTATTCAGGAGGCTGAGGCAGGAGGATTGCTTGAGCCCAGGAGTCTGAGGTTGCTGTGATCTAGGCCATGGCACTCACTCTAGCCTGGGCAACAAAGTGAGACTCTGTCTCAAAAAAAAAAACTAAAATAAAAAAAAATTAAAAAAAAGCTTCTTCCACTCCCAAGCTCCATCAAAAAAAAAAAAAAGCTTCTGCATGGCCAAGGAAACTATCACCAGAGCAAACAGACAATATACAGAATGAGAGAAAATATTTGCATGCTACACATCACATAAAGGTCTGATAACTAGAATCTATATAAAACTCAGGAAAATCAGCAAGAAAAAATCAAACAACCCAATTAAAAAGTGGGTAAAGGATATGAACAGAAACTTTTCAAAAGAAGACAGACTAATGGCCAAAAAAACATATGAAAAAACGCTCATTGTCTCTAATCATCAGGAAAATGCAAATCAAAACCACCATGAGATATCACTTAACTCCAGTGAGAATGGCCTTTATCAAAAATCCCCAAACAATAAATGTTGGCATGGATGCGGAGACAGGAACACTCATAAACTGCTGGTGGGACTGCAAACTAGTGCAACCTCTGTGGAAAGCAATATGGAGACAACTCAAAGAGCTACAAGTAGATCTACCATGTGATCCAGTATATGTGTATACTCCTCACCACCACCCTATTTCTGCAAAGACACACGAGAAACTGGCAGCAGTGGTGCTTCTAGAAGGGGATTTGGGGACTGGGAGACTGGCTGAGAGGAAGGCTGGCTTACTGTAGCATATTCTCGGTACCTTTTGAAGGAATATATTCACATGTCTTATTATAAAAAATGCATTTATTAAGAATTTTTTCTATGGTTTATAATATCTGAGCTACACAGAATTGCTTTACCCCAGAAATATGCATAACTCATTGCTTTACCTGACTTAGGATGCAAAGCATCACACTGAGCATTGTACATATGTACAAATTCCTGGTGCCTTTTAATGAGCTGTTGTTTAGTTCCTTGAACAGATAATCCATGCTGTTTCAGTTTTTTCTTTAAATCACGATCAGAGAGCAAGTTGTATACAGTCTTGGGCAGCGGCTTCCTTTTGTGAACAGAACTGAAAAGGGGGAAAAAGCCCTTTGAGGATTATTGTGAATAATCAAATGCTTTTCATGTAAAATGGTAAATTACCTTCTGACTCAACATCTGAGTGACTGGGAGAATAGTAGAACCATTAAGATAAGAAGGGGAAAGAGAAGAATCTAGCTTGCAGATAAAGTTGACAGTGTTTGACACGATGCACCCAAGGTACTGGTGGGACGTTCAGATAAAGGGGTCTGAGCAGCGTCAGAAGCGAGAGACTTAGGTCTCAAGAAGTCAGACAAAAAGATGCACGCTTAGAAGGCATATACGGAAGGCTTGTAGAATAATACTATGCAGAACCTCACTTAGAATCACACTTACATAGACCTATTATTTCTCTACCTCTTCAAAGCATGCTTTTCCTAAAATTTTACCACAGTTTCCCTGCAAAATCCCTGCAAAAATCAGTTACCTTAGATGATAAGAGTACAAATGCTACCATGGCTATGGATTTAAGGATATATCATCACACATAGCTTCTTTAAAGCTCTGATCCACAGGAAAAACTGCCCCCTCAAACCCAAGGCAGTCATTCTGCAAAGGCATTAGACAAGTAATAGAAGACCTATTAGGATGGCTATCTTTGCCCAACTCGTTATCACCACTGAAAACATAATCCAGAAAGTTGATGAGTAGATAATCTTCTTATAGGATCATCTTCAAAGAACACAAGTGAAAACAACAATAAAAAATACAACAGGGTATTGTTATCTTCAACTATCTATGTTAATAAATACATATGGCATTACAAGAAGTGCAGTAGCAAAATCACCACCTAGCTTTTCATTCTATTTACATAATTAATATAGTGAATAAGCACTAAATAATTTCAAATATAACAAAGCCATATTAAATTACTTTCTCCTTCTCTCTCCATAACAGACAGTTAATAAACATTATTTCTTAAAGTGGACTGGAATTCAAGCTACCTAAAAGTATCAATGACTTGAGGCAATTTCACAAACAGGAACTCCACTGTGAGTTTAAACCATTTCATCTGATGACAGCACGGTTCTCTCGAGTACACTGCCAGGCTCAGCACTATGGCAATTAGGTGCCTAATAAAAATGTGCTCAGGGGGTCACTAAAATTGCTATCATTTCAACATGAGAATAGCAAAGGTTCCGGTGAAAATTAATAGAAACTTGAAAGTAATAGGTGTATCCAAAAAGCAAGCTTTTACAAAGGGTTTACATATGACTAGTTTCCATAAGGCTGTGCTTCCCAAATGTTGGCCTGCCTCGGAATCCGCTTGTTTAAAATGCAGATTCTCAGTTCCCTTCCCCACACCATTTACCAATTGTGGCTCAGGTCTGAACCGGAAACTTAAAATCTAAATTTTTAACAAAGTTCTGCAGGGTAAATCTGATGCAAATGCTCCAAAGGTCATATTTAGAGTAATATTACAGTCAAGTATAGAGTAAAAACAACCAAACATTTCTCTATTAACCAACAGTGCTCTTTCCTAGCTAAACTATTTTTTATGCACTATTAATAAAGTCCAAAAGCCAGAAATAACTACTGAACTGTGAAAAGAACTGCAAACCCTCAATAGATTATATGTTTCCGGAAATTGCTCTTCTTATAATCACGGCCCATTGGACTCTACAAGACTGATAAAATTATGGCAAAATAAAATCACAGCAGGTAGTAACAGCCGAATCTTTTTGTAGGTGTTTATACAAGCACACAGGCAGGGAGGACTCATTAAGCCTGTATCTAAAACATTTATTTTATCAAGGATAGATGATTAAATTTATGACTGTAAAATTCTAATGAAGAACTTTATTGTTCACTGGCATTTATAGTGAAAAGCACCACCAGAGATCAACAATTTCTATCAAAAATCTTAAAATATGGCCGGGTGTGGTGGCTCACGCCTGTAATCCTAGCACTCTGGAAGGCCAAGGTGGGAAGAATGCTTGAGGTCAGGAGTTCGAAACCAGCCTGAGCGAGACCCTGTCTCTACCAAAAATAGAAAGAAATTAATTGACCAACTAAAATATATATATACAAAAAATTAGCCAGGAATGGTGGCACATGCCTGTAGTCCCAGCTACTGGGGAGGCTGAGACAGGAGGATCACTTGAGCCCAGGAGTTGGAGGTTGCTGTGAGCTAGGCTGGCACCACGGCACTCACTCTAGCCTGGGCAACAAAGTGAGACTCTGTCTTAAAAAAAAAAAAGAATCTTAAAATATGCCACCTGATAAATGTTTCCCCAAACATAAAAATAACATCGATTCTTCTTCCATGATTTAGTAAAACTAAGTAACACATTTAAGGGGCCTGAGAATCTGGGGGCATCAAAGGAAGAGTGCCTTCTCTGGATCAACTCTGACGTGATATTGCACAGAATGGGTCAGTGCCGCCACCCACATCCTGGGGACGGCCTGCCAGGACCTTGTGGAGGAGACTGAACAACCGGCAAGGCCTCTTCCCTCATGCTGTCTCCCAGGCTGCGGCAACCTCAAACTCCTGGGCTCCAGGGATCCTCCTGCTTGAGCCTCCTGAGCAGCTAGAACTACAGCTGAGTGCTGTCACACCTGGTTAATTTTTTTTTTTTTTTAATGTTTTTGTAGCCATGAGGTCTCCCTGTGTTCCCAGGCTGGTCTCAAACTCCTGGCCTCAAGCAATCCTCCCATCTCGGCCTTCCAAAGTGCTGGGATTACAGGCGTGAGCCACCGCACCCAGCCTGGGAGGGCCAGTTCTATGTAACCAAACCCCAGGGGCATGATACAGCTAAAAAGAGATGTGGCTCAATGTTTCCCTCAATGCGTCATCACAAATACCAGTTTTGCCAGATGAGGGTTATGAGGACAAAAAGGTGTTGAGGTCAAATAAATTTAGGAATTACTGGATTAAACAAATTGTTATCCCTAATATAAGAATTCTCAGAGTCTTCAATACACTAAAGGGGCAATACAAAAGCCAGAGCTTCTAAGTTGTGCTACTGCGCAACTGGTAGTATTCTTTAGAGCAGGATTTGGAACCACTATTAGAACTTAGTCACACATGGACGAGTATGTTTTCAGATAAATTCACAATGCCAAATGTGTCAGAAATATCATGGATACATCAGAAAAACAGGATTGCAAGCAAGATCATCATTTCAGATTCCTCACTCTTCAAGGAGAAAATACTCAGCTTCTACATTCCCAATTCATTCTTTAGGAAGAATATTCCTAAAGAGAAAAGCAGGTCATCAGACTCCCCGGTTTATGGGAAATAATCCTTACGAGTATCCAGTTTCATCTATTCCAAATCTCCACTAACTAAGCAACCTAAAAATCTAACATTATTCTCATCTACAAATTTACCCACTAGGTGGAAGCACTGTGCACGCAAGACTGCCACAGGTTTGGGCTCAAGTACGTCCCCCACCACAAACTGACAAAGCACAGCTGTGTTTTACGTCAGCTTTTGTTAAGCTACAACAGCATGCGTCAGTCCCTGGGAACCTGCATTCACTCTAAATCTATTCATAAGAATTAAGTGATGTCTTTTCTTTCATCACGAAAGTAATAAGATGGCTCTGCCTTATTAACAGTTTTTGGAGAATACTCTTCAAAGTCCTTCAAAACAGATCAAACATAAGAGCCAATCATTCTATTAATCCCCGCTTCCCAGATACCATTAATTTTTTCAGCTTCCTTCCTCTTCGTTTCCAAATATCTCTGAACTATCGCCTATTCTCTTCCCCTTTCCTCCTGCTTCTTTCTGCTTACCTAGGAAAACATCACGGTCAGACTCTGATCTCTTGCGCCCCTACTCTGTTCTATTTACCATCTGCTCTTTCCTTGGAGAGTGGAATGAAGGAGACTGAAGGCTTAAGCAATCCCTATTTTTAAAAATAAAATCTTCCCTTGATCTTGCTGTTCACTCCTTTCCCAAACTACTCTTTCATCTCTCTTCCTACCTTAATCGCTGGACTCATCTAATTTGCAGCTTCTGTTTGTCTTCATTAACCACTGATTCCTTAATACCCTGCAATTTAACTCTGACTCAAATTTCACTGCTGAACAACTTAGTGGACTGATTTAAGAAATCACTGTCACTTTAATGGAAAAGGGTGACAGAATAGCACTGCAGTTCAGGTGCAAATACTGAGCTGACGATTTATTAGTTATGTCACATGGGTGGTTTGGGGTGGGGGGGTAACATTACATTACATACATACCCTTTTGTACCATTTTATATCATGTGTATATAATTGCCTAGTCAAAAATAAATAAATTCTTGAAAAATTCTGTTTAAAATTTTAAAACTTCTGAGCATCCTAAGGACCAAAGAAAGAGTTTATATGTTCTATACTCAGAGTCTAACTTTGCCTTCTTTGGCCAAGGAGCTTTATGAGAAGAAAAAAAGTTTAAAAAGGATTGAATCCTAAGTTACTAATTTCTCATTAAGTCAAAGTTTAGTGGCAGCTCGAAGATTCAATATACCTAATGATATTTGGCAAAGTAAGACTTGAGAAAAGAACAAGAGGAGAGGGATTGAAAGAGCTCACCAATAGGATTAACGGAAGCAGCAAGTGAAAGAGGTAATATGACAACTGGTCACCTGGACAAAATGAATACTGTATTTTTTTTTAAGTTCATACAGGACAAGAGACAGCTGCAGCAGGTCAATGGCTATGCTCAGCTTTCTTACCTTCTAAGGCTCTCCTTCTTCTCTTCACGTGATAAACAGCTGTCTAGGTGCTTATTAATGTGGCTTTCTGGAATGTTAACCCCACAAACAGGGCAATCCACTGCATTTTTTTAAAAAGAGAAAAAGAGGCTTTATTAGTTGCAGAAAGGGCAAAAATAATATAAGGTGCCACCTTCGTCAATTAAGTAAAAAAGAATCCCAACCCAGCATGCACTTAGAAAGGCAGAAAAGAAAAAGAACAAGCCATCAGGGTAACAGGAGTGGGACGGGCTGGTAACTAGGTGATGGCTAAACTGTGGGATGCCACACCATTAGGTCCTGGGTCTAGAGGAAGAGGTGCAAATAAGTCTGGAAATTAGTTTAATAGAAAATGCTTTCGTTAAACCTTCTCTACCAAGGCGTGACCAAACTGTAAAACTAGCCTTCCATTTTCCCAAGACTTAGGACCCATCCATGTTTAGCACAGAAGCAATGGCGCAACCTGCAGGAGGCGCACTGGCCTGGGGGCGGGGTAGGGGATGGGTGCAGCTAAATTAACGCATTTACTGGGTTGGGCCAACGACTGCTCGATTTTGTCAATGGCTACAAGTTTTTGTTTTGTTGTGTTTTGTTTTTGAGATGGGGTCTCACTCTGTTGCCCTGGCTAGAGAGTAGTGGTGTGATCATAACTCACTGCAGCCTCCAACTCCTGGGCTCAAGCCATCCTCCCGCCTCAGCTTCCAGAGTAGCTGGGACTACAGGCTACTATACCACCACGCCCGGCTCATTTTTCTAATTTTCTTGTATAAAGACGGGGTCTCACTCTTGCTCAGGCTCATCTCAAACTCCTGGCCTCAAGCAATCCTCCCTCATCGGCCCCCCAGGGTATTAGGATTACAGGTGTGAGCCACCATGCCTGGCCACAAGTTTGTTAATTTAGCTCTCATTTGTAATTTCACATATAATGTTAACATTAGGAAATGCAATCATTCTCAAAGTGTTTTATGAAGATGCAGAGATCTGTGCAGGTATCTCAAGGCCTAGAAACCACCCTGGCTAATAGCCAGTGGCTAAGGGGGAGGTCAGGTAGAACAGCACGATCTCCAGGCACTCCCTCCCTATTTTAACAGAGCAGGGCCAATTTTATCTATTTTGCAGGTTACAGTTTGTTATAAGATTTCAAAAATGTTCTGCTAGGGGAAAAACAGTTTACTATCAAGCTAATAACACTACCACAAAAACTGTCAATTGGTAAAAAAAGAAAAATTGACCAAGGATGAGACATAATAGAGAACGTAAGTGAATTTTATATATCCTTAAGAAATGTAAACACGTGAGTACTAATAAACTAATTTCAATCTAAATTTAATAAGCCCTAACATCTCTGCACTGTGTATAGTACGCGTATATCAAAGAAGTCTAAGACAGTTTCTGCCTGAAAGATGCTCAGAACTTCAATGGCAAGAAAAGACACAGAAACAAAAGGTTAAACAAGCACCAGTTAAGCAAATGACATATAGCACAGTCCGGAAAACAAGTGCTATAGCACCTTAGTGATGTGAGATATCAATGTTTCCTCACATCACCAAATAATAGTTAGGATCTGGATAGAGTCTAGAAAGGCGTAGACCAGGGATTGGCAAACGTTCTTATTAAAGGGCAAAGGAGTAAAGGATTTAGGCTTTACCAGTCATACTGCTTCTTTTACATGTGCAGCTCTGGCAGAGTAGCATGAAAGCAGTCACAGACAACATGTAGACAAAAGGGTGTGTCGTAAACCTTTATTTACGAAAACAGGTGGGAAGCCAGGTCTGGCCTGCAAACTGAAGTTCACCAATCCCTGGGCATGCTGGGGGAACAGTGGGGAGATGGGCTTGGTAAGAGCAGGATATCTGACAGGGTGAGGTGTGAAAGAAGGTTGCGATGGCTAGGCACGGCTCGAAGCATCAAAGGCTTTAAATGTCAGGAAGAACAGCACGGAGGCATTCAAGCGGTGACATAGTAAGATGAAAAGAGCGTTTTATAATTAAACAGGACCTTCTATGCTGACTGGGAGGAAGAAGGATTAAAAGCCAAAATATAGAAAGCTACTGCCATACGTTAAGTATGAATTAATAAAAATTGTTTCGTTTTTGCAGGCTGAATTCCTACTCTATGAGAGAGAGAGAGAGAGAGAGAGAGAGAGAGAGAGAGAGAGAGAGAGATCCAACATACCTAGAAGCACAGACTATACCAATCTCTGAGAATGCAATAAAGGTGAAATCTCGTTTTTCCTCTCCCCCTCAAAAATGCTACCTATTGGCCGGGCGAGGTGGCTCAGGCCTGTAATCCTAGCACTCTGGGAGGCCGAGGCGGGCAGATTGCTCAAGGTCAGGGGTTCGAAACCAGCCTGAGCAAGAGCAAGACCCTGTCTCTACTATAAATAGAAAGAAATTAATTGGCCAACTAAAAATATATAGAAAAAGTTAGCTGGGCATGGTGGCGTGTGCCTGTAGTCCCAGCTACTCGGGAGGCTGAGGCAGGAGGATCGCCTGAGCCCAGGAGTTTGAGGTTGCTGTGAGCGAGGCTGATGCCACGGCACTCACTCTAGCCTGGGCAACAGAGACACTGTCTCAAAAAAAAAAGAAGATGCTTCCCTACCTTTGGTAACTAGTTTCAAAGTGGAGGTAGACGGCGACTCGGGACCACGAGCATCTGAGGAGCCGGGAGCCATCTTTCCCACGGAATGCGTCTCTACGGTCTCTGCAGTAGTGCTCGCCTCTTTTCGAGGGCTGAATCTGCTTTTATTTTCTCTTATCAGCAACTCTGACGTAGAACCACCCGTTTCTCTGACCAAGTAAGTATCCACTGACTTGCTCCCCTGCTTTAAAGAATGCCTGAAGGCCACAGGAGTGTGCGCCTTGGCAGCAAGGTGCTTTGAAGAGGAGGACGCGGGAGATATAGGCGGCGACTCCAAAGCGAACTGCGACAGGTGATTCCTGGAAGCACAAAAAACACAACTGATAACTAAGATTTCAGATTAAGTATGACAAATTAACTGCCATAGGCTGCTTTCCCAATCAACACTGTTTCTCTGACATACAAGACTCACACCGCAAGGACCACCAAAGCAAAGTGTTTCTTCTAGAATAAAATGCAAAGCAATAAATCTGACTTAAAAGGCAGTTAATGTGCCTACAAAAGAAAATGGAGGGACATCACGTTCTGGCCATGGAGAAGAGCTGATATGAGGCTTACTCTCCACCCATAAATAACTCTAAAATCTGGGTAAAACATATAAAATAACTGTTCATAGGCACTGGACTGAAACCAACAAAAGGCTGCAATCCCTGAGAAAAGAAACACATGAAGTGATCCAACCCCCCCCCCCCCCCCCGAGATTTTACCCTGGAAGCATCTTCCAGGAGGCAAGTATTGAACTAAAGTCCACACAGGAACTTTTCCTCTCACTGGGCAGAGGAAAGAGGGGTCAGAGTTCTGGGCAAAGGTTGTTAGGACTGGGGGGACAGGGTACTTGGCAGGAGGCTGCTACAGAAAGGCAGCGGAGATATTCTCATTCATTCCTGCTCGTCTCCAGGGTGGTTCAAGGTTAGACAAAAAAGCACAGGAGACGTAGCAGGAAGCAGACACTGGCAAACTAAGATTCCAAGGTGAGTGCTGGAAAATCGTTGCTGTCTGAGCCCAGCCAAAGCCGGGAAACCTTGGTGAGAACCACAGACACCCAGGTGAGACCCCACAAAGGCCCTACTTTAGACAAAGGACCACACTGTGGTCTGCGACGACATGCATGGGTTGTGCAGATGCGCTGTGCAGCCACGCCCATGACTAGGGCTGATTTTCGGGGTGGGGCTTCTATTGCGCAAATGCCTAGAAATCCTGATAGGGCTTATTTCATGGGTGGGTCTTATTTTCGGGGAAACACGGTATAATGAATGATTAAATAGCCTATTCCTTTGGAAGGGAGGGAGGGAAGAGGAGAGCTCAACCATTCCAAGGCCTCAATTTAAGTTACCAAAAGGTCTGTGAACCTAAAGATACTGATCACCTCTCTTCAAAAAAACATCTGTTTCCTAGCAGGGAAATTATGCTTTTAGTATCAGCCGAGGAATAAAATACACTTTGAGATGTAACTTTACTGTCTCAGAGGAAAATCAAACCACCAATAAACTCATTTGTAAAGACACAGCCCCGGCGGCACCGCTGTCGGCCTTCCTGCCCAGCAACCACGTGAGCAAGGGCCGTGTTGGGGCCCCACAGCGCCACGGCCGAGGCACCTCCCCAGGTGGCCCGTAGTGCCCGGACCCGCGGGAAAGATACCATCAAGTTGTACTGGTATGACCATATATATAAATAACTAACACCTGAAGTCTCAATGTAACATGGACATTAACAGTGATGACAGATAAATACAGATGATTGGGAATCAAATACCAGGAGAAACACTTTTTAAAAAGTATATCAGGCTTTTAAGAAACACGTCTGCAGGATCCTGTCTACCTTAAGGCCGGAAGAATTCAGCTGAAGGAATTTAGGAGGTTCTCAGGTTCCCCGTGGCTGAAGCTGAGAGTGTGAAACCCTGATGCGTGAGCTCTATTCTAGACCACAGCTCCAACTCCTTCAGGATGTAAGGAAAAGAGCTGATACTAGCACAGTGGCAGATCTTTGGTTGTGCAGGTTTCCGAACGAGTGGATCATGATGACCAGGTTGCAGGGACTTGCCAGAGCATGGCTGCTTCCCCATCTACTCCTGTTACAAGATCAACAGTGGGTTTAAACAGCTTGGATGAATCCTTTTGTGGCAGACCCTTAAGGAATCGTGGTATTGCTCACCCTGAAGAAATCTCTTCTCATTCTCAAGTACAATCAAGAGCACCAAAGAAGAGACCAGAGCCTGTGCAAATTCAGAAAGGAAATAATAATGGAAGAACCAATGCTTTAAAACAGCAAAGTACCAGAGGATCATGGGTAAGCCCTAGGAAAAGAGGACTTTCTTCTTCTGAAAAGGACAACATAGAAAAGGCAGGCTGTAGAAAATTGTGAGAGAAAGCAAACAAAACCTGTTTCACCAGTTTTAAAAAGAATTAAGCATTGTCTCAGATCTGAAGCACCAAACAGTTCAGAAGAAGATTCACCTATAAAACCAGACAAGGAATCACTGATGACAGTGATTCAGCTGTTATAAACTGTGGTGACTGTCAGCCTGACAGGAACACTAAGCAAAATAGCACTGGTTCCTATGTGTTGCAGGAAAAATCAGTAGCTGAAAATGGGGATTGGGATTGATCATTTTCAGGATGCAAACCAATGAAATGTGCAATTCTACTGCAAGAGATATGTTTATACTTTTGCAAGGAATGTAAGGTACCTCCAAGAATGTTCCAATAAGCCTGGACGCCATATACACTCATGCGCCACATGATGACTTGTCATTTGATGACAGACCGAATATATAGTAGTGGTCCAATAAGATAACGGAGCCAAAAATGCTTATCACCTACGGACATCTTGATGCTCTTGATCCTGTGTAGGCATAGGCTAATGTGTATGTTTGTGTCTTCCTTTTAACAAAAAGTTTAAAAAGTAAAAAAAAAAAGGAAAAGAAAAGAAAAAAATGTAAATAGAGCAAAGCTTATGGAATAAGGATATAAAGAAAATATTTTTGTACAGCTGTACAATAGCTTTGTGTTTTAAGCTAAGTATTATTTTTAAAAAGTTAAAAAAATTACAAGTTTATAAAGTAAAAGTTATAGTCAGCTTAGGTTAATTTGTTACTGAAGAAAGCTATTTATTTTATAACTTCACAGGGCCTAAGTGTCCAGTGCTTACAAAGTCTACAGTAGTGCACAGCAGTGTCCTAGGCCTTCACGTTCACTCAGCACTCACTCACTCACTCACCCAGAACAACTTCCAGGCCCACGAGCTCCATTCATGGTAAGTGCCCTATACAGGTATATCATTTTTTACCTTTTATACCATATTTTTACTGTACCTTTTCTATGTGTAGATATGTTTTGATACACAAATACATACCATTGTGTTTTACAATTACCTACAGTATTCAGTATAGTAACATGCTGCACAGTTTTGTAGCCTGGGAACAACAGGCTGCACCATGTAGCCTAGATACGTAGTAAGCTGTATCTAGGTTTGTTTACGCTCTACAATATTCACACAAGGACAAAGTCACCTAACGACACATATCTGAGAATGAACCCCTATTGTTTAGCAACACATAACTGTACTTAACCATACAGCCACCTCTTATCTAAACACAGTATGTTCTTAATAAAAATTCTTGATTGACTTGTATGATTAAAAGTAAAAATAATTCACGATATCGTTCGGCAAAACATGCCTTTCAATATCCCTTTGGATAACCAAACTCACACATAAATGCATTTGACAGCCAGCGGGTAAAGCTGCATATCCGTGCTTTATAAAGTACAAGCAACTACATATTTCACATGGCACATCATTTAATACATGCTGAGTGAATCAGATTAAGAATTAATGGGTTAATATATAACAGAACCAGTTATAGATATGTGCATATGCATGGGTTAACACACACACGTATACATATATGTATTACCCAGCTCTGTCCACTTAGAGAGCCTAGAAGCAATGACACCCCAGTAGCAACAAGCACACTCTGCACCAGATCCTGGTTTCTAAATAACATTCTCCAATAAAAGGAGCTCTTCAGAGAAATGGTTGATTCTAGGGCTGGGGCAGGTACAATGCAAGATACACAACAAGTATCCCAGCACCCAAAAGTAAAGAAGTCCTCAAATCTGCATTTTGACTCTTAATTGTTCTTTATAACAGGAGAATTTCTGTTAGGTAAAAGAAGAAAATCTTATTACTATTAGATTTTCCATGTGTGAATGAGTATTGTCACTTCCCTTCTTTTACTCCAAAACACGTAGTCCTGCATTTCCTAATCCAAACGTGCACAGAGTAAAGTGAGAACACATATAAAAGGCAAAAGTAGTTAGAGGTTAGTCACAAAATTAAATCATACCGTGCAAAATTCAAGCTTTTTACCAGTTCATCTAATATGCGGTTATTTTTCAGGTCCGGCTCCGTGACTGTCTAGGAAAAAAAAAAAAAAACCAGATGGTAAGGTCAAAAACAATAATTAACTTGTCATAATCTTGTTTTTGAAAATGTGTGACCCATCCTCCTGAGGTTCTCCATCCCACTAAGTCTTCCAGGAAAGCCTCAAAATAAATTTCATCTATCTCGTACTGACATGGAATTGTAAAATGGTCAATCAGAATCTGCTGGCTGACGGGAAATCTGATAAAAGCTCTCCAAGGCATCTGTTAAAATTATATATACTCAGCACTAAGACAAAACCTAACATGAGCAAGAATCTTTCCTCAAAATGCCAGCACTCAGCTTTCCCAAAAATTTCTCCTGAAAAACAGAAGAGAGATGCTCTTTTAAGTAGTAATACTGGAAGAGGCATCAAGTGTCCATACAGAGTTTAAAAAATAAGAGTGGTTTTCAGGATGACAAATCCAGTACTTATTTAGCATGGATACACAGTTTACCTCAGTGACACCATCTTGACAAAGGCAGCATAGCATCATTTAAAGGCCTTAGGTTTGGAAGACAAACTGCACAATTCCTTACACTGGAAATAGTTCAGACGAGTTTAACGACATCCTGACACCGCACACCTACCAAAGCGGCCAAACTAGCCAAACCCTCTAGCTAGCCCCAAGGCCTTTCTGTTAGATCTCACTGCCTCTTCTCATTTTATTCCTGCTTACGTTTCATTTCCCTTTTAATCTACATTTCCACCTGTTCCTACTACTTGAAAAGTTTCAGAAACTATAACGACAAATTTCCCAGTGTTTTCCCTGAAGATCTGGTTGGGGAAAGAGGTAAGGCTACCAGTTAGTTAGGCTGGGAAAGCCCAACAGCCATAAATCTTTGCCTTCTGCACAAACACTTATCCCAGTCCTTTGCAACGGAATGAATAATCATACCAGCATAGTTTCTGCCAAAGGTGAGAAACAATAAAAAATTGGGAGCCATAAAAACATAGGTCATAAGTATTAAAGAGTGCTACATCCTGATCTTAAAATTAACTTTTACTTCCTAAAATACATTTAGGTTATGAGTAATCTTAATGAAATATTCAACAAAGCCCAATTCTCCTTACATGTACTTTAGAAGTACTTCGATAACTACACATCTTCCCATGGGCCTTTGCATGTAGATAAAGCAGAAATATCTGCACCAATCAATCAATAAGTTAGAAAAAGAAAAACTCACCACACAACAAGTTGGACATTGAGTTTTATAGGATAGAAATTTTCTTATACAGAGAGAACAGTCTGCAAAAACACAAAATGCAACATAACAAGTTAATTAAGCTATATTAATAACACAGAAATCTGACTTCTAACAAAATCTGACTTAAGCCCTAAGATATATCCATCATCTAGGGTATATCATTATAGCCTTAAATTTCTAGTACCTCTAATCTATGCACATTTATACATGTAATTAAACAGTTATGTTTAGGAAAAGGAAACACAGCAACTATAATGATCCCTAGGACATCACAAATCCATGAGCAGCATACATCACTGTGTGTACGCTACCTGTGAAACACAGGAAACACGCATGCCAGATCTGCTAGATATGCTGGATATCTCTACTGCCTTCCATTCCAAAATACGTATGTTAAAATACGATACATACACGTTAAGAAATAAAATATTCCCAACATATCAAATCAGGATTTCAACATCCTAACTTTGTAAACGATTCCATCATCCCACATTTAACAAGCATTTTTGTGGCAAGCACAAAGAAAACAACAGTGTGTGAGGGAAGGTTCCTGACTTGAAGGGGCTAAGGAAGCAATGAGGCAAGCACAGCACAACTCAGACACTAGAGACAACCAAATGTGGAGGGCTTACCACGTCTGGCTTCTAGTTACTACAAAGCCACAATAACAAAGACAGTGTGGCTCTGTCACAGGACAGACATACAGACCAGTGGAACAAAAGAGTCCAGAAACAGACCACACATGGTTGGCTGGGGCCATACTGACTCACATGGGGAAGAATTTATCAGATGATGAAAATATTCAGTACTTAATTGTAGTGGTCACATGATACACACATTTGTCAAAACTCATTGACACTTTTTAATGGGCTCTTAAAATGGATGTATTGTATTTTATATGTATTTTATATTATATGTATTATATGTATTTATTTTATATTTAAACAAAGATAATGTTAAAACACATTTAGAAACCGTACCTAAAATTTATCTCAGTTTTTTTTTTTTTTTTTTTTTTGAGACAGAGTCTCGCTTTCTTGCCTAGGCTAGTGTGAGTGCCATGGCGTCAGCCTAGCTCACAGCAACCTCAAACTCCTGGGCTCAAGCAATCCTACTGCCTCAGGCTCCCGAGTTGCTGGGACTACAGGCACGAGCCACCATGCCCGGCTAATTTTTTATATATATATATTAGTTGGCCAATTGATTTCTTTCTATTTTTATAGTAGAGACGGGGTCTCGCTCTTGCTCAGGCTGGTTTTGAACTCCTGACCTTGAGCAATCCGCCCGCCTCGGCCTCCCAGAGTGCTAGGATTACAAGCGTGAGCCACCGCGCCCGGCCTATCTCAGTTTTTAATGTGAATCTGGCCTAGAAGGAAACGAACATTTATTGAACACCCATAATGTGCCAGACGCTGACTTCTGCACACTTAATTCCCAGCACCACTTTCTAATGTAGGGATTACTGACCAGACGTTTACACCTGAAGAAATGTCAGGCAACTGCACACTCTTCCACCTGCTGAGTGGAGAGTCAAGAGTTAAGCCTAAGCACATCTCCAAAGCCCACACTGATGTGGCCACCACTGCCATCCCCTTAGGTCTTCTCTACAGAAACTGTTCCACCAAAGCTTCTACCCACTAAAACCATTTTTTTAGGCCTAACTTGATTGTTTTTTAACATTCCAAGACAAATAAACTTGAAAATGGAGGACAAGAAAGACCACAAACCTGAAGAATTCATAAACTGGATGGCTGGCTAGCTCCTGAACAAAGATAGGCTAAGCCCTCTATGCTAAATGCCTCAAGCATGCCACAGTATTAAAAATGTTTATATACCTGACTCAAAAAGAGAAATACAGCAAATTCCAGTATGGGTCTCCTCAGCATTACATAGCAGTTAAGTTATAAAACTGTCCATAACACTCTTCAGTGGTGGAATTCTTCCACTGGGAAAATATTCTTATTGTTACAGATATTTAAATTTTGAAATTATACACAAAGTACTACTTGGTTGAACCACCTATCTGTTATCCTAGACAAAAATTCTGCAACTTAACATCTAAAAGCACTTGACAAATAAAAAGCCGTATAGCATGACCAAAACCTTTATTGCCATAAATGCTATAAACGGCATAAAAACATCCAAGGGGAAGGTGGCAGAAAATATGGGGGCCTTCTAAAAACTTCAATATTCAAGAGAGAGGTGGTGGAAAAAGACCTTGTGAAAACTTCAAGATAGAGGAGCTCAAGGTGAGAAATAAATATATGTACTTATCATTATTGTTAAATCAACGCACTTATCTTTATTGTTTAATTGACACTACCGTATGTAAATATCACAATTTACTGAACTCACAGAAACAAAACATACTTACAGTTATGTGAACACTGAGGAATTATCATTGCAATGTTGAAATATTCAAAGCAAATTCCACACCGCAGCAAATCATCTATTGTCTGAAATGCAAAAATACATATATACATCTAAGAAATGCAAAGAATTACCATTGCAATGTTGAAATATTCAAAGCAAATTCCACACCGCAGCAAATCATCTATTGTCTGAAATGCAAAAATACATATATACATCTCAGAAAGACACCAAGATTGGAATGTCTGCCACGGAACTTTATCTCCATCCTCTAAAAAATTAATTCAATAACACATCTTTGTCAACTATACATACTCAAAAGCTAACTCCAGATAAACTGCAAGGGATCTTGACAAACAGAGAAAAACCTCCGTCATATGACTCTTACACATTTAATCTCAGGTTACCCAAATTGCTTCAGACAGATAAAGTTGACATTGCAGATTCCTGTGCCCTGCCATCAGCCCTTCACACAAGGGCTGCTGTATTTCTGCTCCACTTTCCACATGTTTCCAGCTTTTACTCCAAGTCTCCTCCCTCTCGGACTCTATGCCCCAGCCTACAGTCACTGTTGGGTGAAAGGTACCAGGGCCAGTAGCCACCACAACGTTAAGAGCCAAATCGGAGAATATTAAATCCAAACATTAGAAATTACCTAATTATAATAAAACCCTTACTTCAGAAATGAGGAAACTGCATCCAGAACAGGCACACAATACATGGTGAGAGCGAGACTTTACTCTCCATTTTACGTATTTTTTGAACCATGTAAATCTATTACCCGATTATATTTAAAATATATTTAAAATATAATCTTAAATTAAATCTTAAAATAAATATATTTTAAATATATATTGATTATATTTAAAATATAATCAAAAAAACACTATTGTCACCAATGACCCATACAATGAATTATTATATAGCCATTAAAAAACATTCTTTCAAAGAAAAATGCCACAGAAAAATGTTCCTGTTTTAATAGATACCTTTTTTAAGTCAGAAAACAAATCTACAATAATACATACTAATGGCAACTCTGTAGTTCAATCTTCATAACAATCTTATGAAGTCCATAGCAACAGAATCCCAGTTCTAAAGATGTAGAGTTCCTGAGTGGTTGGATCGTACCCAAGAAGTTGACTTCAAGGTGATCCCAAATTTTAAATGTATAAAAAACTGAAGGAGGCCGGGCACAGTGGCTCACACCTGTAATCCTTGCACTCTGGGAGGCCGAGGCGGGCAAATAGCTCGAGGTCAGGAGTTCGAAACCAGCCTGAGCAAGAGTGAGACACCGTCTCTACTAAAAATAGAAATTAATTGGCCAACTAATATATATAGAAAAGATTACCCGGGCATGGTGACGCATGCCTATAGTCCCAGCTACTCGGGAGGCTGAGGCAGGAGGATAGCTTGAGCCCAGGAGTTTGAGGTTGCTGTGAGCGAGGCTGACACCACGGCACTCACTCTAGCCTGGGCAACAAAGTGAGACTCTGTCTCAAAAAAAAAAAAAAAAAAAAACTGAAGGAAAATAAGATAAAATGTTAAACAGTAGTTATCTCTGGGTGGTAGAGTTATGGGTGATTTTCATTTTCTCCTTTACCTTACTCTGAATCCTTATTTTTTTTTTCCACTGTGTACATATATGACATTTATAATCTGTCAAAGACAGTAAATTTTTATTATAGTGAAACCAGGCAAATAAACATTAAAATGCCATAATCCTCCTTTATTCTGTATGGTAAACTACCACAGACACAAAAAGCTCAAGGATATGCTGAAGATCAATGAAGAGCAGAGGCAGGCCCCAGCCAGAACAGTCCATCACGCTCTCTCATCCATGCCATCCTCCTCGGGAGGACGGGGTGCTTCTGAAAGACCTGCAGAGCACCACATGTGGGAGGTAACACCACATCGGAAGAGCTGTAACATGCTTGTACAAATCTCCAGTCGTGCCCCTCCAAGACAGCAACGTGCATATCACATGTGTCTCAACCAAAAAAGAAAAAGAATGCCCCAGGATTTCTTTAGAGAGAAAGCAAAAAGGGAAAGCAGAAAATGGGTGAAAAGGCAAGAATTACAAAAATATTCTCAAGGTTTTGGGGTTACAGATCCCTTTGAAATATGGATGAAAAGTATGGACTCTCTTCTCAGAAAAACATACAAACAAAAATTTCATAAATTATTTGAGACTCCAAAGTCTTTCCACGGATCCCAGGTTAGGAACCGCAGATTCTGAGTCAGGTTTCTATATCATACTCGATATAAGAAGGAACTTCGAGCAATCAGATGGGCTTCTGGGAGCAGGTATTTCTTTGTCCCTGGAGGAGTTCAAGCAAAAATTAGATAAGAAATTAGCAGATATGTTAGAAAACGGATTAAAATACTGGAGGGGGCTGGCTTTCCAACTTTAAGATTCTGTGATTCAAACCGGAGCTAAATATGGACTCAACCGTCTCTCTGGCTGAACACACACTGAACACTCTCTGGTACTGAGCTCTGTATGCAGTGCAGAGATGGCAAAGTCACACAAAACACGGACCCTGCCTCGAGGACACTGAAGGTGTGGGAATATATAAAACATGCTTAAATCTACAAAGCGGGAGCTTTACGGGTCAGAGAGCTCTTCCACTTTCTTCATCCAATTCAATCTTCATGACAACAAAAGGGGAGGGAAGCACTTAGGACATCTTAAGTGCTAATAATAATAATAAAGATATAGTAAGTGAAAAGAAGACAGAATGGCCAGCAAATGTATAAAAATTTGCTCAACATCTCTAATCATCAGGAAAAATGCAAATCAAAACCACCATGAGATATCACTTATCCCCAGTGAGAATGGCTTTTATCAAAAAGTCCCAAAACAACAGATGCAGGTGTAGATGCGGAGAGATAGGAACACTCCTACACTGCTGGTGGGACTGCAAATTAGTCTCTCTAATCTCTATGGAAAGTGATATGGAAATACCTCAAAAAACTAAAAACAGAACTACCATTTGATCCAGCAATCCCACTACTGGGCATCTACCCAAAGGAAAAAAAGTCATTTTATAATAAAGACACCTGCACTCAAATGTTTATAGCAGCACAATTCACTGTTGCAAAGCTGTGGAAACAACCCAAGTGCCCATCAATACATGAGTGGATTAAAAAAATGTGGTATAAGTATACCATGGAGTTCTACTCAGCCACAAAAAACAATGGTGACATAGCGCCTCTTGTATTATCCTGGATGGAGCTGGAGCCCATTCTACTAAGTAAAGTATCACAAGAATGGGAAAACAAGCACCACATGTGCTCACCAGCAAATTGGTACTAAATGATCAACACTTAGATGCACACGTGGAAGTAACATTCATCAGGTGCCGGGCAGGTGGGGGATGGACTAATGGGTGCCAACCACACTGTCTGGGGGATGGGCACACCTGTAGCCCTGGCTTGGGCAGGCACAATATGTTGCGAAGGCAACATATTGACCAATATGTTTGTACCCCCATAATATTCTGAAATTTAAAAAAAAAATCTGCGTGTGCATAGAAGGCACACTGTTTTTACTTACATTATACGATATAAGTAAAATATAAGTAAAAACATCAAGAACTCCTTCTAAAAATGCTTTTGTTCATTTTACGTAAAGTTGAGAAAATGTCAATGTCTTTATAAAATATTAATCCTTTGTTAAATAATAAAATAAAGACATGTTAATTGAATGCTTACCAGGTTCCAGATACTTTCGATTAGCGAATAATTTTTGAGCACCCACTTGCTATCAGCAACTGCATTAAGCACAGCGAATAAGCCAGCAGCATGAGTATCCACATGTATCAACTCATTTAACCGACTATTTATTTTTAATCTCTGGTTTACAGTTAAGGCTGTTCAAGTTCAGAGAGGTTAAACAACTGACTCGAGGTCACAGTGAATCCAATGCAGACATCAGACTTAACCCAGGACCCGTGGAGCTCCAGCCTGTGCTCTCTTCATTGCTCTTGGTGCCAAGATCACCACAACTCCAAACCCACAGGTTTCCCGGATCCTTCCACAGTGTCAGCTTCTCACCATGGGAATATCTCAAGACCCAAGCACTGCAGATGACACTAAAGACACCAGGAAGAACAAGTCCTTATGCTTACTTCAGCCTTCGATTAATCCTCAAAGTCAGGGGACACAGGTACTATAATCCTCAGGTTAACAAAACCGAGGAGCAGGAGGAAGTCATTTCACCCACAGTCACAGACAGAGATAATCACAGGGCACGAAGAAAAGCCAAGCAAGTGCAGCCAAGCGCACCTGCTCTTGGGCAAACCTAGCAGGAACCCAGGGCCTTGCCAAAACAGAAAGTGGCCATAAAAATAAGTGTTATTGGCCAGGTACGGTGGCTCACACCTGCCATCCTAGCACTCTGGGAGGCCGAAGCTGGTGGATCCCTCAAGGTCAGGAGTTCAAAACCAGCCTGAGCAAGAGTGAGACCCCCGTTCTACTAAAAAATAGAAAGAAATTAATTGGACAACCAAAAACATATAGAAAAAATTAGCTGGGCATGGTGGCGCATGCCTGTAATCCCAGCTACTCGGGAGGCTGAGGCAGGAGGATCGCTTGAGCCCAGGAGTTTGAGGATGCTTGAGCGAGGCTGACGCCACAGCACTCTAGCCCGGGCAATGGAGTAAGACTCTGTTTCAAAAAATAAGTGTTATTAAAATAAAATAATGCGATGAAATGAAAGACTAGCGCTGAGCCTGCGTCCTGATCTCCGTTTGAAAGAGAGATAAGCCATCGTCAGAGCGGAGTTAGGACACCTTTGGGGGCAGCTGGGGCAGAATGTTGGGGCAAACCAGCCCCAGGCTCAGCGGGAGGATAGAAGAAAGGGCACGTAAAGGAGACTACCTGCTTAGCTGCGTGATTAACTAAACGTTATTTGATACAGAGTCCACCAAAATTACGCCCAGTGTCACTGTTTACATACCGTGTTTCCCCGAAAATAAGCCCTACCTGTAAAATAAGCCCTAGCAGGATGTCTAAGCACGTGCGCAACAGAAGCCCCACCCCGAAAATCAGCCCTAGTGCCGGGCGTGGCTGCGCAGCGTCTGCACAACCCGTGCGTGTCGTCGCGGAGCGGGAAAGGACACGAGCAGCCCTTCTCCTCCGCCCCGTGACAGCTCTAGTGCTCGGCAGGAGAGATCGGGGCCGGTGGCTCTAAAGGAAACAGAGTCACAAGACATTCAGGATGGGATTCGGGGTTTGGAGAGTGAGGATGATGTTCCAGGAGAAGGCGACTTCACTCTATTTGAATTAATGTAGATGGTTGTACCGTCCTTAAAAAAAATAACACATGCCCTGAAAATAAGCCCTAGGGTGTCTTCTTGGGGGAAAATGAATATAAGACCCTGTCTTGTTTCCGAGGAAACACAGTAGTGCCTGACACACGCCAAGCTCTCAGGAAAGGCTGGCCGTGGCTGTCATCGTTTGGAGTCACTGGTCTTCCCGATGTCACTGCTGTCACTGTGACCGAACGGCGGGATATTCGCTTCCACGAGACGGCCCGCCTCAGCTCGCCCTGTGGGACCGGGGTCTGTCCCCGTCCCTTCGCAGGGGAGGACACTCAGGCCCGGGGCCACGCGACAGGCTGGTGGCACCGCCAAGCCGCGTCCCCCGGCCCAGGGCACCGGCCGCGCCACCTGCCTTCTCCCGCGGACAGCGGGAGCCCCCAGCCTCCCTGAGGGACTCACCTTCATCACCGCCAGGCCCGGAGGCCACCGAGGCTCGGCCAAGGAGTCCATGGCCGCGCCTGAGGACGCCTCGAGGCCGCCACACACCGGCTTCCCGCGTTCGGCCACGACTCGAAATTGCCCGCGCTACTCAGCTACGTCAGCAGTCCGCGACGCGCCTGAGGCGGGCCCGGCGCCTGGCGGAAGTTGCAGTACGCGAGGGGGTGGGATGGCAGCGAAGGTGCTCGCACTGCGCGTGCGCCGAGCTTCTCCTGCGCTTCGTAGGCGGAAGTGGCGTAATTTTAAAAGCCGAAAGTGAATTTAAGGACGAAACTAAACCAGGAAGTCAACCAAATCTAGATTTTTGCCAGCCATTTCGAGGTCTAGGCTCATGCCTGCTCTTTCGGGCTGCCCTCCGTGGTTGCTATAGTGATCTGTCCCTGCTCTACGAAGTTTTCTTATTCGTGGCTTCCTCCCTGCCAGATTGCAACACTGGGAGGGAGGTAGTGTCACTGTCAGTTAACACAACAGCAACTAGCGGCCCAAAAAAGTGAATAGCGTGTACTTGAGTCACCCGGTGGCATTGACCAGACTCCCAATAGGGCCTCTGGGCTTTAACTAGGATGTCTTGCTTTCATTCAAATTAAAATTTTAAAGTATAGATAGTTTTCTTCAGAGAAAACCACAATTAGTTTTGGCATACAACCTTCCAGACACCGTGTTTCCCCGAAAATAAGACACGGTCTTATATTTACTTTTCCTCAAGAAGACACCCTAGGGCTTATTTTAAGGGGATGTGTTATTTTTTTAAGTACAGTACAACAACATAAGTTGATTCAAATAGAGTGAGGTCGTCTTCTGGAACATCATCCTCACTCTCCAAACCCCGAATCCCATCCTGAATGTCTTGCCACTCTATTTCCTTTAGAACCATTGGGCCCAATCTCTCCTGTCGAGCACTAGAGCTCCCACCGGGCGGATGAGAAGGGCTGTTGGTCTTCTTTCCCGCTCCACGAAGACATGCATGGGTTGTGCAGATGCGCTGCGCAGCCACGCCCATCTTCTTCTGGAACATCATCCTCACTCTCCAAACCCCAAATCCCATCCTGAATGTCTTGCGACTCTATTTCCTTTAGAGCCATCGGCCCCAGTCTCTCCTGTCGAGCACTAGAGCTCTCATGGGGCAGATGAGAAGGGCTGCTCGTGTTCTTTCCCGCTCCGAGACGACACGCACGGGTTGTGCAGACGCTGCGCAGCCACGCCCGTCACTAGGGCTGATTTTCGGGGTAGGGCTTCTATGGTGCAGATGCTTAGAAATCCTGCTAGAGCTTATTTCATGGGGAGGTCTTATTTTCGGGGAAACACGGTACTTCCTATGCAGACTGACAGATTATTTGCTTGACCAAACTTTAGGCAGGCTCCTGAACCTTCTCCTAGGCCAGTGTGTGTACTTCCTTACGAAATCCAGTTTTAGCAAAGAACCCTGCTAAATCACTTTAGCAAGAACCCCCACCCTTGAAATCTGATCACCGTTGATACCCAATGGGTTCTACAAGCTCTGCTGTACTCCACGTGATGTCTGATCACTCAGGCCTCTTTTCAGCAAGAGTCCTATTAGATCGATTTAGCCAGAATCCCCTCTCACTGCTGGTGTTTCCTCTTAGTCACTTTCCACGCATTGCCTCCTACCCTGCTGCTTGGCTGCAAATCCCCATTTGCCCATGCTGTGTTCAGAATTGAGCCCAGTCCCTCCCTCTCGCAGGACCTGGTTGCAGAGATCCCTTATTCCTATTGGGATGGTCCTGCGTTCGCTGCCCCACCCCCAGCCATTCTCTTCTTAACAAGCTGCTGTTTCCAGGGGTGGTCTCCTTCTGTTAGATCAGGGGTCCTCAAACTCTTTAAACAGGGGGCCAGTTCACTGTCCCTCAGACTGTTGGAGAGTGCACACTGTGGACCCAGGAGGAGTCAGCCGCTAAGCAGGACAGGCAGTGGTGGCAAAAACACCTGGCACGCTGGATAAATGTCCTTGGCAGGCCGCATGTGGCCCAAGGGCCATAGTTTGAGGACGCCTGGTCTATTATCATAAGCCACTAAGTTTGGGAGTGGCTAACTCATACAGTGAGGGGAAAGCACAGTGACCCTGCCCAGGAGTCCATCTGCCAGAGCCTGGCTTGGGAGGCCCCAGATACAGAATGGCTGGAGCCCGAGTCCTACCGGTCCCCCTCTCTCCCCCAGAGCCCACTCCCAGCCTCCTCTCTGGCTCTCTTAGGCCCCGATGCTCTTCTCTGCTTCCAATCTTGTGCATAATTCCAACTACGGTGTCAGAGTGGGCTCAGCCAGCTATTCTTGTCCCCATAAGCTCCTAGTTCCTTTGACAAGGAGGCAGCTGCCTACCTGGAACAAGGCCACATTCTGTGCCAGAAAAATCTCTCCCACCATCTGTTACGGTGTCTGGACGCAGCACCAATTTTTTGCTTCATAAAGGCTGTTGGGTCTCCCAGAGGCCCCTGGGAGAGCTGACTGCTCCTCTGGGGGTGCCCACAGCAGGTTCACCTCTTATGCAACGGCACGAAGGCACCATGTGGCAATTCCGTATCTCCCCAACTAAACCACAGTTTCCTTCTCGTCCCAGCTCCTCTGAGCTCTGGCATGGACTTAGTGGAGGCCCAGAGAATGCCCCCACCCCGGGTGAGTCACCTGGATAGACACACGGTGCCTGAGCCTGGGGTCCTGGGAATAGGGGGCACCTGGGCTCAGGGAGCTGAGCAAGGAGCCGTTGAAAGGAGGCAGGTTGATCACCGACTGATAAGTCTGCAGTGACTAAGAGAACACAGCTGAGAGTCGCACAGGCTGAATTCAAATCCATGCTCTGCCACTTAGACCATCTGGTCTTGGGCAAGACACTCATTTCTCTGAGCCTTGTTTTTCTCTAGTAAAGACTAGGGTAACAATGCCTACCCCCAAAGGGCCGATACAAGAACCAGGTCTGTTAACAATGCTGGAGGCCGGGCGCGAAGGCTCACGCCTGTCATCCTAGCACAGGGAGGCCGAGGCGGGAGGATCGCTCAAGGTCAGGAGTTCGAAACCAGCCTGAGCAAGAGCCAGACCCCATCTCTACTATAAATAGAAAGAAATTAATTGGCCAACTAATATATATAGAAAAAATTAGCCGGGCATGGTGGCACATGCCTGTGGTCCCAGCTACTCGGAAGGCTGAGGCAGGAGGATCGCTTGAGCCCAGGAGTTGGAGGTTGCTGTGAGCTAGGCTGACGCCACGGCACTCACTCTAGCCTGGGCAACAAAGTTTGACTCTGTCTCAAAAAAAAAAAAAAAAAAAAATGAATAAAAAATAAAAGACTGCCCACAAGCACGGAAATTCGAACATCTATTATGTAACGCATTATGTTGAGAAATGATCATTAATTTTATTCGGTGTATAATGATATTGTCTTTATGTAGAAAAATGTCATTTTTTTAGAGATGTACACTGATGTATTTCAGGGTGAAATGTCACGATGCCGATGATTTATTTGAAATTCGAAAAAAAAAGGTAAAGCAAACTCTGAAAAATGTGAATAATTGTTAAATCTAGATGATAAACATAGTGGGTCAACTATACTATTCTCTATATTCTTCTGTAGATTTGAAATTTTTTCGTAATAAAACTTAGAGGAAACTTGCCCTGTCTACCATCTTAGCAGTGACCACATGAGGGCAGCAGAGTGCCAGCTTCGAGGAGGAAGGCAGATGGCTGCTCACCCCACTCATTCATTATGTATGTTTGTTTTTTTGTTTTTTTTTTTTTTTGAGACAGAGTCTCACCCTTGCCTGGGCTGAGTGAGTGCATGTGTCAGCCTAGCCTCACAGCAACCTCAAACTCCTGGGCTCAACGGATCCTCCTGCCTCAGCCCCCAAGTAGCGGACTCACAGGCATGCCCGGCTAATTTTTTCTATATATTTTTAGTTAGCCAATTAATTTCTTTCTATTTTTAATTGAGATGGGGGAAGGGGTCTCGCTCTTGCTCAGGCTGGTTTTGAACTCCTGACCTCAAGTGATCTGCCCGCCTCAGCCTCCCAGAGTGCTAGGATTATAGGCGTGAGCCACCGTGCCCCAGCCCATTATTTGTTGTTTATTTTTCGTCTTTTCATTGAAGCAGTCATTTGGTGAGCTGACCGCACGCAGGGGCCTGTCAGGGACAAAGTCACATCCCCCCCACCCCCCGTCCCTGCTCTACGGCAGCCACATGTGGAGTATCTGTATCTGGAGGTCAGGAAGGGGTGGTGACCAGGAGCCTCTGCCCTGCGGGTCCCGGCAGACACCGGCGCCTCTGTGTTTGACGTCACTGGGATGCAGACCTTGGCCAGGCCAAGGCGGAAACGAAGACATAGGTGTGGGGACCGCAGGGAGCTGGCTGCTTGTGTCGTGCGAGTCGATGTCCACGCGTTGGGGCTGACCACTTAACAGCTGTGTGAGCTTGGCAAAGTTACTCCCCCTCTCTGAACCTCCTGGTGGCAACACCAGCCTTGGAACCACGGGGTGGCTTGGGCCATTTTGTCCATTCCGTCACCCTGGCCTCTGCTCCGGGGTTGGACCTGTGGCTCCATTCTGGTCAGCGAGAACCAGACCCAAGACTCACTCTACTGAAGCTGAGGGGATGCAAGTGGCGGAAGCTTCTGCAGCCATTGAGCAACCATGAGGTACCGGACAGGCTGTCTGAGCGTACATGAAGCCACAGGGGTGGGCAGAGCCGCGCTGAGGGGAGAAGAGCACTGCACCCTGGAGAGCAGGCTCAGGTGCTCACAGCCCCCAGGTTCGAAGCCCGTCCTAGCCAGAAGCTGCCAGCTATGTGAGCCGACACATTCTCTTTTGCTTGGGGGCTGTCTGGGCTGAATAGCCTGTCACCTGCAAACAAGAAAGTGCCCTGGACAGGCGCGCCAAGGACATGGACACTCCAGCAGTGGGCCTTGCTTTGCAGCTGGCGGAACAGTCAAAAGGCTGAAATTAACCCTTTGTGGCTCCGTGGGTTAGAGACGCTCTTATACTGTTGAGTCCAAAGTTGATGTCATGATTCTAGAATGACCATTCTGTGCAGTTTGACTACAAGCAGCTTGAGGGTAGGAGCTGGGTCTCATCCACCTGCCCCAGCTTGGGGCAAGGTG